GAAACACATGTAGATAATACGTATGTCAAAGAGTCTCAAGAGAAATGCACTGAATTGAGTGAAAGCAAATATGAACACATCAAAATTTATGGGGTTACCTAAAGTAGTGTCAGGGGGCAAACTTAATACATAAATGTTTATATTTGAATATTGAAGTCTCAACCCCACGTCAGAGCTTCTACCTCAAAAATGTGGGAGCAGTAACTGGGTAGAAGACACAATGGGTAAAACGCATCCACATCAAAGTCAGGCATGATGACATATGTCATAACCCCGCACTGAGGTGGGTGGGGAGCGGCTGTGGTGATGAGACAGGCGGGTCTTTGAAGGTCATTCGCAGCTAGCCTAACCAAATAGCTGGCCTATAGGGTCAGTGAGAAAACGTGTGTCCAGAAATAAGGGTAAAACATGATTAAGGAAGATGTTTGAAATCAGCCTCCACATTTACACACGAACACACACACACTTATATCCACACACAGGAACAAAAACATGCGCGCACACACAGAGCTTAGAAAGGGGGAATAACAAAATGGATATATGAAGAATGAGCTACTGCTACTACTACTGATAATGATGATGATTAATAAGAGTAAGAATAATAAATGGGAAATATATTAAGAGACATGAATTTCCAATTCCATAGAAGACATCATATATATAACAAAGAAGGGTTGTCAACAACTCCACAAACATACATTCCACAACCATTCCTCAACTTTGAAGAAATGAACTAAGTCCTTAAAACCTGCAAGCCAAGACAACTCCTTGGGCTGCCTTATAACAACTAGAACATCTAATTTGTAACTAAAACGTTTCTGAAAAGAAATATCCACATCTAGATATTTTAGAGAAGAATTCACATCGCTCTCCCAGAAATTAAAAGATCATAGATTTCCCAACTTATTTCGTGAAGCTCATATTACCTAGATTCCAAAACACATACAAAGACAATACAAAGAAGAAAAAAGAAATGAAATAAAAAATCCAGAAAAGTGTCTTTCATAAATACATGCCCCCAACTCCTTAGCAAAATATTAAACAGAACTCAGCAATATTTTTAATCACACTGTGACTAAATAGGTTTTACTCTAGAGAAACAAATCTACACTTCATTATTTGGAAAGTTATCGTATTAAAGAAAAACACATGCCATAAAACTCAATAGCTGTTCACGGTTTTAAAACCCTCAAACTAGAGGAAACAGCCTTCAATTTGATAAAAAAAGAATCTAAAAGAAATACCCACAGCTACTATAATTCTTAATGATGAAACACCAGTTGCTACCTCTGTAAGATTAAGAACAAGGCAAGAATGCCCATTATCAGTTCTGTATTCAGTGTAGTGCTGAAAATGTAAGTAACACTTTCACTTTGGGAAAGACTCCATAAAGAATGTGGAAGGTAAGTTGCAGTTTGGTAAATATTTTCAAGCCACCTATCTGAGGTTTTGTTTGTTTGTTTGTTTTTGTTTTTAATTTGGAATATTTTCCAAAGCTCTGGGACTTCAACAATAAAAAGCAAACAAAAAAGAGCCTAAATCATAAACAGACACGTCATCAGAGAAAACATATGGATAGCAAATAGCCACATAGGGAGCTACTAAACATCCCTACTTTAAACACACACGGGGAGGGGTTGCAGAAGTTACACATCTATCATAAAGACTAAAACAAAGTACACTGGTGTTAAATGATGCTGGTGAGAATGTAGAGGCATGATAAATACGTTGTTAAGAGGAAATACAAAATCGAAAACTGACAGTGTTAAAATATATGTGAACAGTATAACTATCTTATTATCTTGTGAATTATAACCCTAAATATTTACCACACAGAAATGGAGCTTAGTGTTCACTCAAAATCCTGTATGAGAATGTTCATAGAAGTTTTACTCATAATAGCCCAAACTAGAAATAATTCACAAGTTCTTGCATGGGTAAACAGAAAAATAATCTGACATAGTGGTACCATTGAGCAGTATTTGGCAATGAAAAGGCACATGACTGATAAACATAACTCAAATAAATCCTTAGAAAATTGAGCTTAGTGTGAAAATCCAGCTCCTCAAAGATTAGGTACTCAAGTTTCCATTTACACAGCCTTCTTTTAAAACAAAACAAAACAGAAGAGCAGAGGTTAGAGAGATGATTCAGCGGCTCACAGCAGTTGCTGCTCTTTCAGAGGACCTGAGTTCAGTTTCCAGCACCTGTGTCAGGAGGCTCACAACTGTCCATAACTCCAGCTTCCGGGGATCAGATGTCGCTAGGCTTTTTGAGCACCTGCATTCACACACACACACACACACACACACACACACACACACACACACACACATGCTCCTACACATAATTAAAATAAAATACGTAGAGTGTGTTGGTGACACAGACAGGATGACAGCAGGAAAGAAGTGGGTGTGATTAGAACATTGCAACATGGAAGAAGCACAGCATGAGGGGTCTGTTGCATATTGTGTGCAAAACGTAAAATATACTATGTATAACACAAGGAGGGACCATTAAAAATCATGGAGCAACTTCTGTATTTTAATTGTGTCCATCAGTAACAATGCATATTAGAGTTTGTAACCATAGGATATCTACAATTTGATAGTAAGGAGAAAGGAGATACATGGAATCTCTCTGTCTTTTCAAGTAAGGGTGAGTTACAGTGATTTTAAAACAAAATTTAAATAACAAGTGGGTACTTCAGCTTCTGTCCGGCCTTTTATTTGGGGCCTCACTTAGCAGTGAGGATGCCATCAGCATCGTTTCGGGTCTTGGGCAGAAAGCTCTGTGTGAGCAATCGGATGACAGAATCTGTGAGTGAGCAAGCCTCGTGGACTCCAGGTCCAGCCACCTGATATGCAGCTGCCTGGAGCTAGCTATGTCTGTGTGGCCCAGGCTAAGTGTCCCCAGAAGCCTCCGTCAAACTGCAGATTTGATGCAAAGGAAGCACTTGCTGATGTTTTTAGCCACTAATTTCAGAATGGTTCATTACACAGTGATGTACGACGGGAAGAAGGTGACGTTTGCTATGAATACTCCATGAAAAAGAAAAGTATATCCTCATTGAGACTTGTGGGAGCCATGATGGCGCTTTAAAAAGCACCGCCAAATTGAACACTTCAAACCTGGTTTGATTCCATTAAATCTCAGGAAGGTTTCATTATAACCAACATAATTTCAAATTACATATTGAGTATGTCATTTGCTTAAGGAGCTTTATACCATGTATGGCGTAAGATACTATATATATATATACATATATATATATATATGTATATATATATGACATTCAAGAAGTGAGATGTTGTCTGAATTTTAGGGGTTTGTGACTCAGATTAGCTGAAGTTGGGATACCTTTGAAATATTTTTAAGATATCGACACATACATAATTATTATTGACTTATAATTAGAAATGATTGAGTGCTGGAGAGATGGCTCAATGGTTAAGAGCACTGACGGCTCTTCCAGAAGACCCAGGTTCAACATCCAGTACCCACATGACAGCTCACAACCCAAAACCCATGGCAAAACACTAATGCATAAGACAACAATAGCAAAGAAATTGTTATTTGAAATTTGGTTTTTGTAGACTATAAGTCAATGTGGCTTGTTAAAATACATGTTTTTGCGAGTATAGATGCGTCGGTTGCTTGTCTTGCTCCTGTGATAAAATACTGAAAGACAGAAGGAAGTGCTACTGCTTGGTTCATGGTTCAAGGGTGCAGTTCATAGTATCAGGGAAGTAATGAGGGAGCTGGTCACGTGACGAGTGAGGAAAAAGAGTCATGGTAGGGCGCTTAGCTCTCATTCTTCCTTTTATCCTGAACTGCAGCTCATGGAATGGCGCTGCCTGCAGCTGCGGGGTCTTCACACTTTAATTTAAGTGATTCTAGGTAAGTCCTTACTGGTATGCTGGGAAGCTTTTCTCCTGAGTGACTCGAGATCCTGTCAAAGAAACAGGATCGACTATCACGACTAATTACTGAAGGAAACTCATCTGTATATCCTCTCCCTCCAGCCAACTACCCAGGCTGCAAATGCTCTCCTATGTTATCATTTAAATTCTGCCATAATCCCCTGCCGTGTTAGCATGACAGGCAAAAGAAGACTAAATGCAAAACTAGGATGGACATAAGAAGTAGGAGTCTATTTTTTCTGTCTCCTGCTTACCTTTAAAGCAGTCAACTAAATATTTCTTAATATCCCCTCCCCTGCCTAGATTATGCTTGCTTTAGCTAGGAATTCCTAGTTTATCTGCTCAGGAGCAGTTTTCTGTTTGTCTCCTCAAATATCAAAAGAGCATACGAAATTCTGAAAAATCTTTTCTAAAATAGTTCATAATCTTATTACCCATATAAAATTATTCCAAATTATATCTTCACTTTGCCGGGATGAGTTCATTGTAAGTGTGGTTTCACCCCATGGAGAAATGAAGTGTGTTCCCTTACAAGGTTAATATTTAATTCTCTTAAAATTGCTAACTTAATTTTTTTGAGAGCTGGTCTGGCTACGTGGCCTGAAATTCTCATTTTCTTGCCTCAGGCCTCTCGGTTGCCCAAGTTACAAGTGTGAGGTACCATGCCCTGCAATAATATGCACTCCAGACTTCAATCCCCTTAAGTCAGAATGCACTCAAGATTGATTCATGATGAAAATAAGCTAGTCTAGCTTGTTTATTCTGCCGTCTCATGGTTTTATTCACAGAAGTACAGCAGGATGAGCCTTCTAGTTCTAATCATATAGAAACGGCCCGCTCTCTACATATGCAGTATAAACACATTCTTTGGTACTGGTGGACACTAGTGTGTGCCCTTTGACCTGCACAAGAGATTTGCGACCACCAGGGGGCGGGGAAACTCTAGAGCTCTTGGTGCGAGCGGCCAGTGGGCGTGGCTTCTGCATCCTTGACAGACAGCTAATGAAGGATGCAGGCGAGGATGAGGTAATAGCGGGCCGAACGAGGAGGGCGGGCGTGGGGTTGTTCGTGCGCGTGTGTGTGTGTGTGTGTTAGTGTGTGCGCGAGTGTGAGTGTGTCCGTGCGTGCGCAAGCCAGAGGAAAATGTGAGCCTCGGAGCTCGCGCCGCGGACCCAGCCGGCGCTGCGCTGAAGAGAGACAGACAGACAGACAGACAGACAGACAGACAGACAGACAGGCAGTTCCATTTTTTAAGAGACTCCGAAGTTAAGGCCCGGCCGTGGCCGCTGGGGTCGGGATGGCGCCCATGCTGTCGGCACCGGGGGACTAGGGAAGCGTCCGCGGGCGCGAGCTCGTCCTGGTGCACTGTCTGGGAGGGGCGACTCCTTCTGGAAGCCACTGAGCGGAGCCGCAGGGAGGGGGAGCTGTGCAGCCGCGGTCGCTGCGCTCAGTATGGAGAGAGGGCGGAGGGCGTGACCGTGCGGTGCGATCCACGCGGACGCCCGCGGAGCCCGAGGCGCAACTGGTGCGAGGCGGCTGCAGCGTCGCTCGGGCGGGCCGCTCGCCCCCGGGTGGCTTTGCCAGGCGGGGCGGCGAGTGCGCAGGGCCGGGCCTTTGCATGAAGCCGCTGGACCCTTCGGAGCAGCAGCGGCAGCAGCGGCGGAGCCCGGCGCTTCGCGGTCCGAGGCGGGCGGCCCCGGGGTCCACGTCCTGGTGCCTGCGCGGCTGCGGACTCCCCCATGGGCTGCAGCTGAGGCTGCCCGCGGCGGCCGGGCGCGGGGCGGGGGGCGCGGTCCAGGCCCGGAGGCGGCGGCGCCGGAGGAAGCGCAGGAGGCCGGGCCCGGGAGGCGGGCAGCGCTGCGCCACAGCCCCGGGCTCGCCATGCTCCTGGCCTCGGCCGTGGTGGTGTGGGAATGGCTGAACGAGCACGGCCGCTGGCGTCCCTACAGCCCGGCCGTCAGCCACCACATCGAGGCGGTGGTGCGCGCGGGTCCCCGCGCCGGGGGCAGCGTGGTACTGGGCCAGGTGGACAGCCGGCTGGCGCCCTACATCATCGACCTGCAATCCATGAACCAGTTCCGTCAAGACACGGGTGAGCCGCCCACATCCCTTTCTATCCCGGGAGCTACCGCCTCGTGGTCGTGGGTTGTGGGCAGTTTGTCTTACTGGTGTCCGCGATCGGGGTTAAGGACAGGTGCTTCCTTCCTTAGATCCCCTCAGGATCCCATGACCACCTCCAAATACATGTCCTTCCAAGTAGTTTAAAGTGTCTTGATTATGCAAACCCAGCTACAGCCTAGCAGCAGGAGACCCCTTTAAGCCCTCTTTCAACCCCTAGTGACTCTTTGTGCAGGAATTCCAGGGCTTTGCAGCCCTCCAAGCGATGCTTAGCAGCATGCAAGACATTGCTGGAGCCCCTTGGCTGCTCACACCTTGACTGACCCTGCTTTGTCCCAGGCACACTTGGGGCTACCACATGTCCCCCTTTTAACCTTACTGTCTCTGGCTCTCCTCTATGGAGCCAGCTTTCCCAACGTCTACTCCTGGGTGTGAGACTTGGGGAGGCAGAGGGGTCCCCTGGCTCTAACTGCAACATAACTAAGAAGAGAGAGGTGGAGCCAGGGCTTCCAGGGTTGGGACATCCTGGATGTGGTGGCATCCGCAGATGCCTCTGCGTGTAGACTCCAATCACTGGAGCAACAGGCCAGAGCAGATGGGGAGACAGGGGAAGGACTGGGCTCTGGAATGCAGGCAGGGAAGCTGCTCCCTTTGTCCTTAGAGGAGGAGGGAGGGAGTAGGCGGAAGGCTAAGAAGAAACTGTCCCCAGGTTTTTTATTACAGCACCACACAAGGGCCACTCTGGCCTCCCAAGACACTAAACTCTTGTCTTTACATAAAAACCAAGTTGCCAGCAAGACCACCACAGCTCTCCCAGCGGTGTGCCCTTTAGCCAGGAATGGAACTACAGAGGTTAGAGTTGGGGGCCACTGGAGGGAGGAGGAAATCACAGTTGCTCTCTTCTCTGGGTCTAGTGTGGTTAAGTTTAACTAATGACCTGGGACAAGTTTCAGTCCCCAGAGGGTAATCTTTTTAATTGGGGTCATTTCTGGAATTCTGGCTGGCCTTCCCCAAGGGTGTAACTGCAGAGCCTGGAGAAGCAGGTGTGGTGGGGAGGGAGAGGAGGATATGAGGAGGAGGGCCCTGTGGCTGGGGAACAGCTGCTGAACAGGTCCCCTGAACTTCCTAGGAAAACCCTCTCACATCCTGTGCTAATTGCAATTGTCATGGGAAAGAAGTATAGTTCCTCCCTCTTGTAATCTGTAGTCATAACTCCGAACAGCCTCTTTGCCAAGAACTCTGTGACCCTGGCTAATGGAGGAAAACTTTCTGGGAAAAAAAAAAGAAAGATTCCAGAAGTTTTAGCATCTGGCGGGCTTGAGCCTTTGTGGAGAAAGCAAGGATGGGGAAGTAAGGCGTGGAGTGGGGCCTCAGATGGAGGGCATGTGGGGGCCTCAGATGGAGGGCATGTGGGGGCCTCAGATGGAGGGCGTGTGGGGCGTGTGGAGGAAGCAGCTGAGCCGTGGAGGTGGAATCAGCAGACCACCTGACAGGGAGTTCCAGGCCTGCTCAAAATAAAACAGCAAGTTTAGCTCTTCTATTTCAGACCGAGTCTGTGCAGCGTATAGAGAGGCATTCTAGTAACAGGCAAGCCCCATCCTCTGCCCCACTGTTAGGAAGTCAGAGGCTTAATCTGTATTTGGGACTATTTAAGATGACCATAGAACTAGGAACAGCCATGACCTAGATGGCATTCTTGCCAAAAGTGAAGTTCTAGAAAACCTGGAATAAATAACAGTATCTCCTTCCCAGGATCTGGCTGCTGATGGCTCTTCTCTGGGCAGTACCTATAGCCTAGTGGTTATAGCAGGTCACTCAGCGTTGGAACTTCTCCTGTTTTATGTCTGTGTCTGAGAACTAGCCGTGATCCTCGTCAGGACTCTGCCACTGAGCGGTTCCTTCTGCCTCTGCACCTCTCTTAAAAATATGATCTAGGTAGTTACTTCAGGCTGGCCGCAGAGTAGCCAGCCACCTGCCTTAGCCTCCCAAATGCTGGGAATGATTACAGATATGCACCAGCTCCTCCAGTGTGCACCCTTTTAAAGATGCCCCGTGTGTCCTCCCAAATGCTGGGAATGATTACAGATATGCACCAGCTCCTCCAGTGTGCACCCTTTTAAAGATGCCCCCTGTGTCTCACATCCACACTGCTTTGGCTTCATCTGCTCTCTCCTGCATCAGGAGCGCTTTCCTAGGCACCTCTCATCTCCATGCCAAGTGCTAGGCTGGGATGCTAAAGGCATACATAAGGCTGATTTCCTAGAAAGGCTGGCCCTGCCAGGGACCTTGTCCGTACAAATTAGAATCCTTCATGTCAGCTCTGACCCCCTTCTGCTCCCTTCTTGGTCCACATAAGAACTTGGTTCTCTCAATATAGACCACTGATGAGACTATGACATAGTAGGAACTTTAAGCCACTGGCTCCCAGGCAACCTCAGCCAAGCCCTAGCAGTGTTTAATTAAATTACTCACTGTCCCCAAGCCACACTGTAAAGCTGCGAACAACAACAACAAAAAATCCCTAAGAAGACAGACTAGCTGGAAGTTCCCTGCCTAGAGGCAATTCCTCTCTCTTTGGTTGTCTTGTTTTATAGGCATTTGACCTGAGAGCTTTCTCTTTTCAGAGTTGTATGCCTGGATACTTAGTGAGCTTGGTCTCTCAGAGCTCTTGACTGCATCCAGACTGTCTCCAGGGAGATGGCTGGGAGGTTGCAGACACCCATCTGCCTGTTTCTGTTTGCCCCGGGTTCTCCTTCCCCAGACTTTTGCAGATAGGAACTGATTTGCATTCTAGGATACTTTTCTCTAGGCATTTAGCCTGGAGAGAGGGGGTTCGGGACCGTCAGGAAACCTTGGTGAAGTCCTCTCCATCCAAAGTCCTCTAAGTCCTCTACTGTCATTTCCCTTCTCTTTTGCAGTGAGGCTTTCCCATAACTACTCAGGCCTTTGCCTTTGTAGATTGAAGAGAAGCCTTCAGAGTCCCTTTCTTCCAGTATAGGCATCTGCAGATGCATGGCCCAAACCCGCTGCACCAACAGCCATGCCGATGAAAGTAGATGGACGCAAGAGAGAAGTATTTGCAGCTCAAAGCTTTGAGTACTAGCCTGTCTCTTTCCATCTTTAGTGCAATGAGAAGGGTCCAGTGGAATGGGGGGGATAAGATTTGACGAAATCTCTCCTGTTGCTTACTACCTAGTGTGGGCACAGGAGTGGAGGAGGTAGGCATGATTACCACGTGGATGCTATAGTATAGAGGAGATGTGTCTGTGACATGCCAAGCAACTTGCACAGGCGTCTTGTTTAATCTTTACAAGGATTATATGAAGACTAATTATTCCTGTTTTATAGAAAAAGGACCAACGTGAAAGAGCTTAACTTGCTCAAGAGTTCAAGTTACTTTGTCAGTGACAGAGCTGAGTTCAGTGGCATGTCCCATGTCTGCTTCCTCATTTGTGGACACTGTGGATTGGTTACATGTGCAGTGGCAGGTATGGGGGGCATATTGATAATAGAACATCCAAGAATTCACTCGAATGGAACGTCTACAGTGAGGGTGAGGTGCTGATAAGAGAAGCTGAGTGTTTGACAGTGTAGACTGTAAAAAACACAGGCGTGGGTCACATGTCAGAGACATCAACCCATGCCTGGAGCTGTCTCCTAGTTCTCAAGAGACAAAACATCTTCAATGCTATTGGATGCTGGTGTCTGGGTAGCTGAGAGAAAGTCATTTTTTCCTTCTCTTCCTTCCTCTTTGGTTTGTGAACATCTGCTATGCCTACTGTATTGGGAACCTTCTCCCTGGGACATCATACTGTAGGATAAGATGGAAGTTCTTCACACCATCTAATCCATGGTCCTGATTCTAGAAAAGTCCAGGGCTAGGACATTCCAAATAGAGCAGACTCCAGGAGTAAAATCTCACTTTCTCTATTATCCCAAATTTTTGGTTCTGAGGTTGTATATTTTTGATGACTACCCTGTTGGGCTGAACTAAATTCGTCAAGTCTCTCTGGAAAAAATGAGCTTGTCTTTACATTCCTCTGTTTGCTACCATTTTGCAGTATCCTTGAGGTCAGCCTCAGGGTTGTTTGACTCCTCTTACTCAGAGCCCAAGTGGCTGATGTGTCCAGGAATACAGAATACATCGCCCATTGGTTGAAATTTTAATGAGCATGAAGAGAACCATATTCCCAGACCAAGGCTCTTGGGCTTTGAGGTCATTGCTGGGCTCGTCGGGGTTGAGAACAAGCGGCCTTGAAACCTCATTTCCAGAGCATGCAGCTGCCCATGCTCAGGTCCTTCCCAGTCCTCTCCATAGGATCTCCCCACCTCTCTTTCTGCTTTCCCTAACACCTGCCCACCCACTCTGAACTCACTGAGAGAGCAGTTTTGGTCTTGTCACTTATACTAAAACTCCCCACTAGCTCTTCTTACCCCCCAACAAAGCCCATCATAGCTTGATGTTCTAGACTTTCCATACCGTTTCTAGCTTGGTCCTCTGTGCCTTAGATTTTCCCAGTAGTTCTGAGGTTTTCTCCACCCCATATGTTCATGTGGTTGTCCCTTGAAGTGATACCCTTTCTTTCCATTCGGCTATTGCAATTCTCTTTTTCTTTCAAACCTTATGTCATTTGTTATCTAGTTCTTCTAATGTTCTGCAAACCATCATCACTTCAGTTATTAATCACATTTTATTGAGCCCCTTAGGCTCAATAAATGTCAAGCCTGTGGAACAAAACTAGGGCAAACACTTTTATGCTTGCTGTCACCAGATTGATGATCTAGGGAGGGCAGCAGGTCTGCATCCAACTAGCTACATAGATAAATGTGCAAACTGCATGTTGAGATTAGTACTGTTAAAAAGTGGGAACAGCATTTGATGTGGTCACAAAAAATTTCCATAGGGTGAAATGAGTTCAATTTAACCCGAAAGAGCCAACAAAGAACTTGCCGAGTGATTAGGAGGGAGGACCTATCATGGTGAAGAGTCCCAGAGTCAGAGAATAGCAATGGAAAAGACTTGAAGGCAGTGTGAAAGAAATGCATGCAGAGTGTGTGCGGGAAGGAGCTGTAGAGATTGGTGAAGCAGGGGATTTTGCTCTTGGCGGAAGAAAAAAAAATCTGGGAAGATTTAAGCCTGGAAGGGGTCCAGTCATTTTTCCCTAGTGACTTGTGTTTCCTTGGTGTCCTTTTGGCTCATTTTGCATCATAAACAACCACTCACACATTTGCCTTCTAACTCCTTTTGAGTCTGTACTCTGCTTAAGGAATGCTTGAGTTTTGCATTCCCCATAGCAACTAATGGGATGCTGAGCAATATGCAGTCAATGAGTAAATATGATAGTAGCCAGAGTTCAATCAATCATGGCACAGTTTATGGTGCTTTTATAACTGCCAGACATTGCATTAGGAAGTAGAATACAAAGAGCCACACAGCTATGTCCCTACCCCCACTCAGCACCTACAAGGAGGGTAAGCTTAGACATCTGAAAACAATCAGTCCAGTTCTGCACCTAAAACTTCCTGAGGGGTGGGGCTGGGACTAGAACATTTCAAGAAGTAGGTGAACTGAAAGAGAGAATTTCAGTAGGTGAAAATGACAAGAGGCTGTAAGTGGAAAGGTTGTGGTACAGTTGGGGAGCCACAATGGAATGCATGAGAATTAAGAGATTCTGTGCTTGACAGAAATAGTGGAAAATGCAAAGGACAGAGGGAGATAAACTAGGAACGGGTGAATGGAGCCACGGCATGGCCTGGAGAGTTCAGAGACAATGTTCAAACTGTTCCAGGATTGATAACTTTATTGTCTAAAAATCAATTGCTCAAGCAAACAAAAGTGTTTTTCAAGTGCATTTGTAAGTACCAATCAAGTACATTGTCCCTGTTCCCTAGAAGTTCCAAAGGTGTCATTAAACTCTCTGAACTTAGTTTTCTTATCTGTAGAAGGTGTTTTATAGGATTGCCATGAAAGTTGTATAGAATGGGTTCCTGTGAGTAACCAAGCACATAGGCCAGGGTAATTTCTTATTTTCTCTCTTCTCCCATTTCTCCCCTACACACACACACACACACACACACACACACACACACACACACACACAGAGAGAGAGAGAGAGAGAGAGAGAGAGAGAGAGAGAGAGAGTCCTCTAAACTGCACTTCCCTATAGCATCTCAAGGGTGAACTACAATAATGATCACCATTTCATTGAGCACTTGCTGTGTGACAGGTTCCTGTTTGTAGTTCTGTATTTCATTTAATCTTCAGATACACCTGTTATACCTCTGCACAGACCTAAGGGATGAGGAGAGAAGGCTCCTTCCACAGCAGGAAGGGATGGAGCCTTCTCCATGGGCCCTGTGCTTTGTTCCCCAGAAAGCTGACCTGTTTGCTGAGGAAGGAAATGGAGGCTAGCCCGGGAACTCCCCCTCCATCCTGATACCCCAGGGCCCCCAACAGAGGTCCTGGCACTGAATGGAGAGTTGTTCTGCTTCTCCCTTGTGCCTCTGAATGTTGATGTTTTGGGTTATTAAGGGGCTTGAGATGGGATGGGGAGTAGGTTATGACCCTGGCAAAGGCCTGAATAACTATTGTTCCTTTCTTTCCCCCTTGAATGGGATTCTGTCCCAGTCATGGTGTCTCCCTCTGGGCTGGGGGAGGGGGTGGGTCAGAGGCCAGGCAAGGGGAACCTTTTCCCACCACTTCCTCAGATAGAGCTTAAACTGGCAGATGCAGGGACCTCAGCATCTCAGAGTCCTCTTCAGCCTTGAGCCTTGATGTTGATGCCATGAAATGAGCCCTGGTTGGAGGCAGAATTTGGGCTTAGGGTGGGTAGAGGAAAAAGAGGCAGCCATTCTGTAGGGCAGTTCTCTTGTGTGTCCTCTGGGTCATCCATGCTGTCCCATTATCTTGTTATCATCCTGGCCCTTCCAAACCCACAGGGAGACTATGAAAATGAAGAAGATGCTATCTTTACAAGGGTTGAGTTTCTTGGAAGAAACCCTTACATAATTATGAAATAAATGTTGTTATTATTACTGATAAAAGACTTAATGCTGGGAATTGGGTGAGAGTTCTCTCAAGATGATGCCCTATCTCCCAATAACACATTTTCGTCTTAATGTCTTTACATTTATTTGGTTTGGAAGGGTAGGGGATGGGTTGAGCCATGGCATGTGTGTGGAGATCAGTGGGAACTTGTGGGAGTTGGTTTTCCTTTCCACCGTGTGAGTCCCGGGGACCAGATCCAGGTCATTGGGTTTAGAATCAAGTCCCCTTACCCACTGAGTCATCTCAGCGTCCCAGTTCTCCCCTCAGCATCATTGCCACAACCCCTGGCCTTTTACATGGAAGCAAAGTTGTCCTCCTGCCTTCTGGACTTTCATGGTTCTTTTCCTCCATAGTCCTGAGGGTGGGGCTACTCAGAGGGACAAAGATAGCATATGAGCACTTCCCTGCATGAGGGCATTTCTCTCCCCAGTGAGAGTTACTGGAGAAATCCTGGCGTATGTGAATTCATATGCATTAACTACATAGTCACCTTTAGAGTTGTTTGGTTTTTTTTTTTACGAAAACTCCCAGAGAGGAGTTACCCTCTTTTTGTGAACAAGAATTGACTGAGATATTCTGTATTAGCTGGAGAGTGAAGTGATTTGTCTGCAAATTACTATACCTGAATCCGGAGTCTGGAGCTGCGTTCTGCTGCTTGGCAGTGCTTCCTCTGCCCTCCAAGTGGCTTCATCTGCTTCTACTCTGCATTGCTTGTAGACTCCTGAATGTGTCTTATTCAAAACTGAGTCTTATTCAGAACCTTCCTAGACAGCACAGGGCTCACCACACAGTAGGACTGCTGTCAACGTTTACCTGTGAATCTAATACAAATCAGTGCTGTTCTCCTAACTCTGACCCTCATCTGTGTTACTTTGACAGGGACTCTACGTCCAGTCCGCCGAAACTACTACGACCCGTCCTCGGCGCCTGGGAAGGGTGTGGTGTGGGAGTGGGAGAATGACCATGGTTCCTGGACACCCTATGACATGGAAGTGGGCATCACCATCCAGCATGCCTATGAGAAGCAGCACCCCTGGATTGACCTCACTTCCATCGGCTTCAGCTACATCATTGACTTCAACACCATGGGTCAGATCAACAGGCAGACCCAGCGCCAACGCCGCATCCGCCGCCGACTAGACCTCATCTACCCCATGGTCACCAGCAGTATGCCTAAGGCTCAGTCCTGGCCAGTCAGTCCTGGAACAACCACCTCCCCCCCTGCACCGCCCTGTTCCTGTCCACAATGTGTTTTGGTGATGAGTGTCAAGGCTGCTGTGGTCCATGGGCGCACTGGGCCCCTTCAGCCTCCAGGAACACGCAAGAACATGGCTCCCTCTGGAGTGGGCAAGCTGCCCCCACCACCCGGCCCTGGGGCAAAGCCACTAGACTCTGCAGGCACCATCCGGGGCCCAGGGAAGACTGCCCCATCCCAGGTGATCCGCAGACAAGTCTCTAATACACCAGCTGGGGCAACCGTAGGCTCCCCCACCAGCCCACAAGGAAGCAACAGGAAGACTGGAAGGGTGGCTCTGGCCACTTTGAATCGGTCCAACCTGCAGCGACTGGCCATTGCCCAGTCCCGGGTGCTGATTGCCTCGGGGTAGGTGTTCCCATGGCTGCGAAAGAGCCATTACCCACCTCAGAGATAGCATGGGACTCACCACTGAATCAAACAGCAAGAGGGGCTGGCTAAAACAGGCAAACCTAGTCTTAGGCTGAGCCGCCCTGGCAGATGGAAGCCAGCAGGGTGTGGACAAGGAGGGATGTCACAGTAGGGCACCAAGAGGTCTGGTTATAAGTGAGGCTTTGCCTCTTAGTTGCCAAGCGGTGTGAGGCAGGACCCACACGTGAGGCTGTGACTTCATCATTAGTAAACACTGCAGACATAACGTGTATTACAGTCCCAGTGAGGGGTATAGATGGCTATGCTAGGAAGGCTTAGTCAGCATTAGTTGAACTCCCACTGCGTTCTGGTTTAGTGATTTCTCTAATCTTTGTAATGACTCTGCAGACATTACCCCATTTCACAGATGAAGGAAATCAGATACAGTACAGGAGTCTGTCCTTGCAGCTGCCCTTCCCTACCCGGCATTTTCATCAGCACAGGCATACAGTAGGTGCCAAGCAAGGATTGCTTCTTCCCTGCCCTGTCTCAGCATTCTTATGACACGCTGGTACTGTTGGAGGTACCATTAGTATTTCTGATGCTCTTGATACCCCTCATCCACCAAATGGAAGTGCCCAGTTCCTGCAGTGCCCACAGCAGTCTTCGCCTGCATCCCAGCTTCCTGTCAGCCCATCACAGCCAACTGCCCTCCTTTAGTTCCCAGAGGTCTGGCCCTGCTCCTGCCCTGTGCCCCAGACGGTTGAGATGGCTTTAGAGCTGGAATGGGTCCCGACACTGAAAATCCAGGCTGCCCTGAGGCAGTGCCATAGATGCTCAGCTGGGTGTCCAAACATCTTAGCACAGGGCAGACTTAGCACAGGGAAGGGAAATGAAGGACACACAGCTGGGGCAGAGAGCCCTAGGCTGGAGCAGCCTCTACTGCCTCTCACTTGTGTAAGCCCTTGGATCTTTGCAAGGGCCGGTCGGTGTCCTTGTGTGTCAAAGACGATCCCAAGTTCGTACCTGCTCCTGAGGTCATTGTGAAGACCTCCATGGATAGAGGTGACTCCTTGGCAAGTCGCAGATGTGCCTGTCCATACTGTGTCACTTCTCTCACTGATGTATTTTAGGTATGGGCACTTTGCTAAGATCTATCTTTCCTCGGAGGGTCACCCGGTTCCTATGCTGCAGAGAAGCTGGAACACGAGATTTTGTCCACTGTTCCATCATTGTGTTGGCTATAGCCTCAGTGATGTGAAGGCAGCTTACACTGCTAGTCAGAGGCCTGGGGTGCTCATGACTCCCTCCATGGTGACGTATGGGACAGAGGTGCCTGGATCCTGCTGCTCCTCTATCTTGGATTGCAGCAGAGGGCTAGATGCTCTAGCAGATTTCCGGGGTGATTGTTGGCACACAGGAGGAAGCACATGTGAGCCCCTGGTTGCTGGACTTGAACCCAAGTTCCTTACTGTGCCACTTGGAGTAGGTTTTGCATCCTCTGACTTCCGTATTCTTAGCTGTCGAGTGACTTTATAATAGTACTTCAGGTCCAGGGTTGTCCCAAGGGTTGCCCAGAGGCCAGTGGGTGTTAGCCGCAGATGACGATGATGATGATGGTGATGATACATCTAAAGGGTATACGCTTGTGTTGTTGCTGAAGTCAAAGCTGAACTGATCCAATTTCCACCTCATTTCTGTCCCCCTTGATAAATGCCCCAGTGACCCCATGCCATCATGGAGACAGATGCCCCTTGACCTGCCTTGAGTCTGAGGAAGTTAGCAGGCTTCATTCCTTCCCTTTTTTCCTCTCCCAAGCTAGACAGAGGGGTGGGTCTGGCGGGGCACTTTCAAAGGCTATGGAAATGAGCTGCTTTTGCTCGGTCTTCCTGACAGGGGGCGCCCTCCCACCTCTGTCTTCTAGCCCTCTCTTCTCACCTTTCTCCACCTCCCACGCCCCGCTGCCATCTTCTTTTCCAGCTTCCCTTGGCCACTAATGAGCGTGTGTCGCCCCCTTTGTCTGGCGTTGCCATCAGCCTTCTGTCGTTACGCAGCCAGCCCCCATCCTGTCTGCCCATGACCTCTTCAAGCAACACTTTCCCACAGGGAGGGGGTGGGGGTGGGGAGATCAGGGAGGGCAGGCAATGTGGGATGAAAGTCTTGGCAGGGAACAAAAGATGCCGTGAATTATTCAGAGACACAAGCAGGAGGTTCTTAAAAGGGGTGTGGAGGCCTATGCAGGGCAGTGATCACCCATCTCCCCCCAGAGTCCAGGTTTCTGTACCTCCAGCTAGGCGTGCTTGTTGGTTGCCTTAGAGACACGGCCATTGTCCTTCATGAGGTTTCCTGGTTGGTGAAAAACTTGGAAAACACTAGCTTTCTCACCACGGGGCCTGCGGGGATACCCCACCCACCCCCATTCAGGCTGCCCTCCCATTGCTGTGTTAGGTCCTCTCTTTCCTCGGTTTTTATTTTATCAATGGAAATAAAAAACGTGGACCCTCCTGTAACCAGTAACAGCCTGAGAGGATGGGGGAAGGGCTGCCTTCTGATTGGCCAGCACATGACGAAGTCCAAGGGCTTTGGCTGAGTTGCCTGGAGGACGTGAGAAGCAGGCCTGTTATTGCACTGCTGTTTCCTAGAAGGAGGGGCTCAGACTCAAATAGCTGAGGCCCTGCAGGCAGAAGACAGGTTTTCTGGGGTTTTTATTTTAACCTGGAACCTTGGGGGAAGGGTAGGCAGGTGTTGCCTGCTCACAATCCTCAGTACTGCAGGACTTTCAACTCTGCCCTTTATACCTGATACCGTGTGCTCAAGAATGTGAGAAAACTGGATTGTTAAAGCAGGAAGTGGCAGAAATGAAGTCCTTTGACAACTGGAAGATAAAAGTGTAAACAGTTGCCCAAATTTGCACAAAGCATCACTGTTTACCAACTCCCTGACCTAGATCCTAAAACCTCACAGGGTCCCCAAGGGAGCAGGCATTTATCAGGTCTTGTTTACAGCTGGAGTAAAGGCGGGCAGATGTGATCCAGAATACCCAGAAGCTAGCCAGCATCGCCACAGGCAGAGCAGGCTGAGTACAGATGCTACAGTCACTTTCTGTTTCTCCCTCCGTGTTTGGTGTTTGGTAAAACACAGCCCCCGTCTGCACTGAGCTCCACTGCTGCCCACAGACTAGGGACCAGATTGTCTGTCCCCTTCCTGACACACAGTTGATCCCAGTTTTCCTGGGTGTTCAGGGGTTCCACAAGCAGATGTCCCCTTATATCTCTTTAGACCCCCCCCACTCCACAGCTTGTGGGCTGCTCTGAGGATTGGAGTATTTCCTGGTTGACCAGATAGCGTGTGGAAACCTGCCAGTCCAGTTTGTGGGAACAAAGGTGGCCTTTGTCACTCAGATCACAGTATTTTATCAGCTGAGGTGGGAGCCATGGAAATGGTGAAAGAGGGCAGGTGCAGGGCTGTGCTGCGCATGCCCTTCCGGTGGGCAGCCAGGAAACAGCACAGTAGACCCGCTCTTCAAGCCTTTTCAGGTAGAGTCTTGAAGGTGAATCTGCCCTGGAGGGGGTCCAGGGCTTCTGAGTCACCTTCCTCTCAAATAGTTTGATGGGAAATTGCCACGAGGAGACATTCTGACCCCAGACTACTGAGGCTCAAGCAGGTGGCCTATTGTTTGCATATTACTTTCAGTGTTTAGCCATTTACAAGTCTGTTCCTTTTTCCTTGGTCTAGTGACTTATTTAAAGACATCTTTTCCCTTTCCACATCCGGTCTTGCATTATTCAGGGAGCAGTTCAGAAAGAAAAGTAGCTTCTTGGTTTGGCCAGATATATAGACATAATGTGCTTTTATGAGTTCCACTGCTTCTGTCTTCATGGAGAGGCACTGGAGGAGCCTTTCCATCCGGGGCCTGTGTGGGACAGAGAGACCCGGCTGTGGGGCCTCTTTTCTGTCCTAATGGTGGCTTTGCTCATCACAGCATGGGGCAGTGGAGAGCTTGGCATCATGGGCGGCACTTTGGAAGGACTCCGGAGCCAGATAATGTGTGTCTGACTCTTAGTTGCAATCTTGGTCTAGTTGTCCTAACCTGTGTGTACCCAACTCTGTTACCTATGTAGTGAGATTGACAGTAGTACCTCTTAAATAGATTGTTGGAGGACTGACTGTGTTTATCTGTTGTGGGCACTTACCGTTGCCCCTAGCCAGATCTGAATTCTGTGACTTATAGCCCATAGAGGAAGAGCCATTGGTGTCATGTTCACAGCTGTACCCCCAACGTTCAGCATAGTTGTCCCAAAGTGGGTTCAAGAAGTTCTTTTCAAATAGACAAATAAATAAATATTGATTCCTTCCTATTGACTTCCCAGCACAGCCCTACCCCATCTGGATTCTCAGGCTGCCTGGATACCAGAGGCATCTATCACCAGCCCCACTGGCTTCTCCAAACCAGCTGTGGAAGCCTGGGTGGCAGAAGCCTGGAATGGCACAAGTCCCATCTCTATGTGTCCTGTATTTTCTCTGTCAGTGGTTTCGCTGTGGGCGGCCTAGCCTTTCCCAGGCAGCTGTGTGGGCTCCTCTCCAGAGCTGGGGAGGACAGGGAGAGGAGGAGATTCTGCTTGTGTTTATAAGTTTGTGGGACAAGAAGTGACAGCTGTTCAAGCAGTGGTTTCCAAATGCTAGACCAGGGAGGGATTGCAACATCTCCACTCTTTGAAGAGCTTCGGGGGGGGGGGGGGGGATGCAGATTCCTGTGGTGCATGAATTTGGGGGGGAAGGGTTATGACTCTGAACTTGGCTAAAGATCTGTGTTTTAGCCAACACTAAGGGGAGAGTAGGTGGAAATGGCCAGTGACTTAGAAGAATATATTAGGTAGAAGAAACATTTACAAAGGTGTTTAGGCAGGAGCATGACTGGCAGGAGCTAGGACCAGAAAGAAAGAGAGTGAAAAGGGGTTGAGAAGAGGATGTGCGAAGGCTAAGGAGATTCGGATGGAGGTATTGGCAGACATCGCAGGGCCAGGAACCCTTCTATACTGTCAGGTTCTGAGTGGAGGGTGTTGTGATCCGAGTTCAGTTTTGAGCGTCTTACCTCCCACTGATGTGTTAAGAACCTACTTACTTTGGTAGGTTTAAGCACTGGTTCGTTGTGCTGTTTGTCAAAGCCATATAACATCTGCTCTTTCCTTCCACAGGGTCCCCACTGTGCCTGTAAAAAACTTGAATGGGTCCAGCCCTGTCAACCCTGCCTTGGCAGGTAAGAACTAGCCTGGGCTGGACTTGCTTAGGCTGAAAAATCAGTCACAGAATAGCTAATGAACACTTACTTATAACGAGAGAATTTGGATGCTAACTGAAGAAAATGAGATCTGCGGAGTTGAGCGAGAAGACTTGGGGTGGTGCTAAAAGTTCAGCATGTCCAGGGTCTTGGGAGGTAGCCCATATAATGAAGTGTGTGACAGAGAAGCATGAGGGCAACAGTTCCACCCCAGAGTCCCTCTTAAAAAAAAAAGAGGAAGAAAACAATTTGGGAACAGTGATGTGTGCATATAATCCCACTGCTTGAGAGGCAGAGATGGGCATATTCCTGGAGTTTGCTGACCACCAGTTTCCTAGTGAGGTCCAGGCCAATGCTACCTTGACTCAGAAAACAAGGTGACCATCCCCTCTAAGGTTCAAGGAACATCATGGAAGAGGGATGAGAAGAATGTAAGATGCAGAAGATAGGGAGAAGAACTGTAAAATTCTACCTTGTAAGTATAATGCAGACAGTTCAGTCAGGATCTTACATTAGCTGTGGCTGCCTACACTGGGCCTACATAAGAATGGACTTGTCATTGATCAGACATGGACTGGGGAGATCTCAGAGGGCCCTGCATGTCCCTGTTGAACTAGTGCTTACTGATAGATTTAGGAGAGAGGGAGGGTTGTTGCCTTCAGCTCCAATAGTCACACACACAAGTCCCTGGTCAAAATTAGCGGTTCACAAAAGACTTTTTGATAAAGGGAGAGGGGTTTAAGAGGGTGAGGGTTAGAACAAAAGCACATTTAATTGATCTTTTTTAAAGCGAGGTGGTTGGCTTCTGAGGAAGAACTTACAAAGCAGTTTTCTGGCCTCCATCCAACCATACACTCAAGCATGCAACTGTAGAGAATGCATGAACTATAAAGACTGTCTGCTGGAGAGGAGGAGAGTGGGTAAGCGGGAGGGAGAGTGTGGGAATCTCGGGAGCACATTCTTCAGCTCTTCCTCACCCCTGCCCTGCCCCTTCCAGGAATCACCGGGATCCTCATGAGTGCAGCGGGACTGCCTGTGTGCCTCACAAGACCACCGAAGTTGGTCCTCCACCCACCCCCTGTCAGCAAGAGTGAAATAAAGTCTATCCCAGGGGTCTCTAACACAAGCCGCAAGACCACCAAAAAACAGGCCAAGAAAGGTACAGGCTTCTTCTGATTGGGTACCTGGAGTGGAAGGCTGGGCCCGCAGCCCACATCCCCAGCTCTGCCTGCACCAGGGTCAGCCCCTGTGCTGTCACTTCCTCGGCTGAGAAGCAGGCCTCATTAGTAGACTTTGTTTGTTTGTTTATTATGTATACAGTATTCTGCCTACATGTATGCCTGCTGGCCAGAAGAAGGCACCAGGTCTCATTACAGATGGTTGTGAGCCACCATGTGGTTGCTGGGAATTGAACTCAGGACCTTTGGAAGAGCAGTCAGTACTCTTAACCTCTGAGCCATCTCTCCAGACCCCTAGTAGACTTTGATGAGTCTACCAAAGTGGGTTGGGTGTGGCTCAGAAAGAACTACCTGGACACACATAAACATGCAGAGCAACAGTAGCAGAAACATCAAGATTGCAAGTGTTGTACAAAGACAGTATGTTAGAAGAGACACTGAATCAAGATCCTAACTTGGTCGCTAGCTAGTTGGGTGCAATGTCTGCTTTCTTGCCCTTGTAATGTCCATGACCAGCAGGTATGTCCTGGAATGTGCCCATGACAACTGGAAAGCAAGCACTGTCTTATGTCTCTCTGGAGACTCTGAACCCCATGAACCCTGCTTCGTAAATCACTGTGTACCAGTCCATAATCCAGCTACTGGGGGAAAGGGCACCTTCCCTGACTCCAGCAGCTCTGGGTTGGCTCTGTGGCTGATGGTCCTGCAGGCTGCTCTTGGTTATGAAATGATCTTCTTCTTCCAAGCCTTCGTCTTACAAACTTCTTAGGAACTTTTAGTCAGAATGGATGTGCATAAGTAGCACTTAGCCTGGGCCTGGCAATAGGGAATAAACTCTCAACTAATAGAAGCCAAGTTCTTTTAAGAGAAGCAGGGCATTGGGAGGAAAGGGCCTGCATCTCAGCTTTTGGCCGTTGTCTGCTAAACTTCCTCAAACCCTTGTCCTACTTTCCCTGTCTATTTCAATTTCCCTGCTTCAGTGAACTCACATGCTTTTTCTTCGGCCAATAGGTCGGGGCAGGGGTTTACACTCCTGCCCCCTTCCTGGCACTATTAATAGCACATACTGTCTCCTTAGCTGGCAAAGTGCACTTGGGCTGTGCATCCATCAGCTAATTAGTCGTCAAAGCACCCACTGCAGTAGGTGCTATCAATTATCTTTATTTTGTGGGTGAGAAAACAGCTTGGAGAAGTCAAGGGAACAGCCCAAGATTCCATGATTTTTTTTTTACTCTGTGGCTGCTTGTAAACCAACGGGAACCTATCCTCTGCCTTCATGTTAGCTTACTTCCCAAGGGTCCAGAGCTTGAAGATCCTTAATTCCTGCGACTCCTAGTATGCTTCCCAGAGCCTTACCCTTTCCCCATGGCTGGACTGCATCTCCTGGCAGGAACAGCACCACTGGAAGCCAGGAAGGATTGTCCTGAAACTGGGGGTCACAACTTCCTGCTTTCCTATAAAAATAATTTGACTGTGACACCATATTACAAAGCCGAGATAGGGCTTAACAAGTTGTTGAAGGAATGCACCCCGACTGATTGGTGTTTGTGGAGTGGTGCAAAGTGTTTTCATTTCTCTTTTCTCAAGGGATCATGTGGGCAAGCTTAAGCTCTTTGGTTATCAAGAAGAGGAACTCCGTTTATATCAGTGAAAATGCTGATTTGTTGAAGTAGGCAGACATGTCAGAGCGTGGGCTGGAAGAGGTCAAGGCAGATCGGAACATCATCCTTCTTCAAGTCGCTTTGATCTGAGACAACCTCTATTCCCTTTCACGCTCCTTAAACCATTGCAAACATAATTTGACCTCCTTTTCTCCCTCCCTTCCTCCCTCCCTCCCTCCCTCCTTTCCTCCCTCCGCCCCTCCCTATTCCCCCCCACCCGTGTGTGTGTGTGTGTGTGTGTGTGTGTGTGTGTGTGTGTGTGTGTAAGCATGCATGTAAGTCTGTACATGGAGACCAAAGGTCAGCCTCAGTATCATTCCTTAGATGACATCTATCTACCTTGTTTTTGAGACAGGGTTTCTTATTTGCATGGGGGCTTCCCAGTTAGGTTAGAGTGGCTGTCAGCAAATCCCCAGAGATCTTGACTTTTTCATCTGGTTTCCGGGGATCAAACTTAGGTCCTCATTCTTGCAAGGCAAGCACTTTACTGACTCAGCTGCCTTGCAGCCCTTTTCCTCTTTGGACTTGCCTCTCACTCTCCTCTCTGAAGCAGCTAGGATGGCAAGGCTAGTTGAACATGTCTCCTTTGTCTTGGTGACATAGTGCCTCTCCTGTCCCCATAGGTAAAACCCCAGAGGAAGTACTAAAGAAGTATCTGCAGAAGGTCCGACACCCCCCGGAAGAGGTGAGTCAGGGGGTGTAGGGCAGGGTTCACTTTTTCCATCACCAAGTTCATGTCCTCTGTCCCCATGTTCTACAGGGTGTGGCAGGTGCTGCTTTCTAAGTCTGGGCTGGCACAGAGCAGATTTAGCTGATGCCTTCACTTCAAGGTTCAAGGTTTCAAGCTGCAGTCACGATTTAGCTTGCCCCATTTAGCAGAATTCTAAATGATTGTAAGCTAGCTTCCATGCCTGTCTGAGCTTAAGCAAAACAGTGTGCCAAGCCATGTGAACTCCCTCTAGAATGGATTTGATATGGACCAGTGACTCTCAGCTGAAAGGATTACCCCTGAGGGAACATGTGGCCTTGTGTGGGCATTCTCTGGGTTGTGGTGATTGACTAGAGAGTGTGCTGCTAACATCTAGTGGGTAGAAACCAGAGGAACTTCTGAACACCCTGTAAGGCCTGGAACAGTATCCACAGCAAAGCATTGCCTTACCACAATGGCAAAGGTGATGGCATTGGGAAATAGGTTGTAGATGTATTTAGATGCAAGCCCCCTCTAATACACTTGCAATACAATACCTTTACAGACATGCTGCATAAGCAGAGCTTGTCATGGTATCTGTTGACAAGCGCCTGGGAGGCACCAAGCAAGGGCAGTGTCACATCAAGATTATAATATAGTCAAGGAGTCCATGTTTAGCATGTACATGAATTATTTGAGGAATTTCTCTGCTATGTAAAGCAAGACACATTTAGACTTTATTTAGAATCCTCCCAAACACAGCTCCCCTGATTTGTGGACTTTATAGAAGAGGGGAGAACCACTCGCCTGATGCGTGCCATCGTGCAGGAGCCGTCATGCTCTGGCTGCCCTGGCTGGGTGAAAGTTGATACCTCTCTTATCCTTCATCTACCAGGACTGCACCATCTGTATGGAGCGTCTCACAGCGCCCTCTGGCTACAAGGGCCCACAGTCTACAGTCAAGCCTGACTTGGTGGGAAAGCTGTCCAGGTGTGGCCACATCTACCACATCTACTGCCTGATGGCCATGTACAACAATGGGAACAAGGTTCGTGTCTTGGGTTTGGGGGAGGTCAGCCATTCGTTCCTAGGTGGCCTTGTTCTCCCACGAAATGTTCTGGAACATGGAACCGGTTCTTCAGGTATATTTGCCACTTTACTAACTGCCGTGACAAACTACTGGCAGAAGCGATTTAAAGAAGTCAGGGTTTATTCTGGCTCGGTTTGAGACAGCCTGTGGTGGTGAGGAAGTCATGTTGGCGGTAGGAGCTGGAAGGAGCTGATCCGTGTCCATTTGTAGTTTGGAGGCAGGGAGTGATGGGTGCTGGTGCTCAGCCCCCTCTCTCCTCTTTACTTAGCCCATCGAATGGAGCTGTTCCCATTTAGGTTGCTACAGCCCAATCTAGAAACTCCTCACTGTCATAGCCAGAGGTATGTTTCCATGGTAAATCTGAATCCCATCAGGTTGGCCATCAGGATTAACCTTCACCCCAGGGCAGCAGGAATGAATATTTTCACTGTTTGCAACTTCGCTGTTTTCTGGATTAGTTAGCCCCGCATTGCAAAGTCTGTCTTCGTTTTCCCTTTGGGTCAAGCTTCCCTTCATCTCTAGTTTGGGTATGTATGGTAGTCTAGCAGAGGTGAGCTTTGTGCATGAGGGTTCCCAGGGAAATGGTACCCCATTGGGTGAAGTGGGTTCCCACCGGTGAAGGAGGCCGTCACCACAGTGCTGCACCCATAGTGAGAATTTCTTCATTCATTTGATTGTCCCTGCAAAGGCGTTGTCAGAGTTCTTGGTAATCCCCACCACAGCATCAACTGTCTGAGGATGAGACAAGGCTTCTCTCCATTAACTGACCTAGGGTGCCCCCCATTATAATTGGTTTCAGAAATCTGGGTGTTTCCCCAAGTGACTATTTTCCCTTTTCAGTATCTGAGCTTTATGAAGTCATTGACTTGCATTCTTGTGTGTGTCTGGAACCACCCGTCCACCCCTGTTCCCTGTGAGTTTGAGTACAGCTCAAGTCTGAGATTTCCATGATGTCTCTCAACTTCTTACTCACCCAAGAACATGTCTGGATTTTAGGGACTGCTCCTTGTGTCCTGTGTAGTGGGGAAGGGTTGGGGAGGTATGACAGGAAGCACACCTTCATGAAAATCTTGGCTTATGAGATGAATGACTCTAAACTTCTTCAAGATTTCACTTTCCATTTCAAAAGTGAGCTGAAACAGTAGCTGCTGCCCCCCCCTGTGTGTGTGTGTGTGTGTGTGTGTGTGTGTGTGTGTTTGTGCTTGTGCATGAGGAGGCTGGAGGACACCTCTGCTGTTACCCCTAGAACACTGCTCACGAATTGGGCTAGGGTGGCTGGCCACTGAGTGCCAGGGTTCCTCCTTTTTCCGTATCTCCAGCACCAGAGTTATAAGTGATGCCACCACCCCTGGCATTCTAGGGATCCAACTCAGTGTTTGTAAACAAGCTGCTTACCCTCTGTGCCATCCCTCCAGACCAATGTCTGCTTCATAGATGTTATGGCTGTTATTACTCAAAATGGCATCTCCTTTTTATTACGACTCTCATTTCCTCTTTTCATCTTTGCATGAGGTTGAATTGCTAACCTTGACATCTTCATTGGTGTCCCAGAGGCTAAGACTTCCGGATGCCCTTCATCATTGGTGAAAGGTTCCGAGTTCTCTTTCATAGCCCAGGGCTGAAATCTTTTATCAGAGTCTCACCTTTTGAGAGGTTATTTGGAATTTTTAGGGTGTCTTAGCACATTTGTTCCCTTTTGGATGACTCTTCAAGGCTGCCCAGTAACTCCATGTATATGTCTGCAGGGCTCCAAACATGTCCTTTGTTCTCCCTTTCAGTGTTGCTTTGAATCATTTTTATTCTCTTAAGCACATTGAAGAAAAGCATGGGAGAGAATGGACTCATTCGCCCCAGGTCTTAAAGCAAATAAGGCTAGTGGAGAAAGCAGGAGCCTGGTTTCAAGAGCGGTGACTATGAATATGAGCTGTTACTTAAAACGAGCCCAGCTTGGATAGAGACATGCCTAAGTAGCTCTGAGGGGGTCTCATCTCCTTCCAAAAGACTGCAGGTGTCTGTCTGCCGGGGCCTTGGTCCCAGCTGAGCAGCACCCCATTCTACATCCATGCTGGCTGCCCACGCGTGCTTCCTTCCCTACTCCCCTCCTTTTTCTGTGAGGCTGGGAGATTCCCTTTGCTGTCTGGGACCTCTTGCAGGCTATCATCTGCCCTACCAGGTGACACTTCACTAGATCCTGCTGCGAAGTCACAACCGTTTACACCGTGTCTCCGTGACCCACGTTCAAGTCAGTGTTGATGGCTATGACAAGATACATGGGAAAACAAGAGGAAAGGAAAGAGTGGTTTTGTTCTTGTAGTTAGTTAGTTAGTTAGTTAGTTAGTTAGTTAGTTTTGGCCCATCATTTCAGAGGTATAGTCTGTGGTTGACAGACTTCTTTGCTGTGGGTTTAGGATGAGGTAAACCATGGCCACAAGCACATGAGGCGTGAATGAATGGAAGAAAGCCCTGTGTGAGTTCATCCTGCAGCCCCTGTGTGTGTGTGTGTGTGTGTGTGTGTGTGTGTGTGTGTCCCTGAGTTCATCCTGCAGCCTCTGTGTGTGTGTGTCCCTGAGTTCATCCTGCAGCCCCTGTGTGTGTGTGTGTGTGTCCCCGCCTCCCATTGTCATCTCCGTTTCCTCCTGCCTTTCAAACCTCCTGGCTGCCATCAAATCACTCTACCAGTAGCTTCATCTAGTGATGAGGTCTGAGTCCTCAGTATCCAGTCAGTCTACAGAGGCTCATCGGTGAGCAGCCAGCCCTCTAATCCCTGAGCCTTGGGGGACAGACCTGTGATGACCTGCTGTGTGGTCTAGGGCAGAGGGTGGGAAGATCTAGGGGCCTCACTGGAATTCCAGCCCTCACTGGGGGCAAGCATTTCACTCTTGATGTCCCTCTACTCCCTTTTCTCTTAAGGGAATCTCAGGTCCTTCCCAGCTAAAGTCAATTTATGACTGTTTTAAGAACTTTTTTTTTGGTCTGAGACAGGGTTTCTCTGTCTAACGGTCTTGGCTGTCCTAGAACTTGATCTGTGGACCTGGCTACCCTCGAACTCATAGAGATCTACCTGCCTCTGCCTCCGAGTGCTGGGATTAAAGGCGTGCGCCACCACTGCCCTGCAAGAACCATTTTCCTTAAAGTCATTTTTATTCCTTTCCCATATAGGGCCCAAGCATTACTCTCTCCACAGATGTCATAAGCACACTAGTAGCATTTAAATGTGACATATGCTAAACACTTTATGTATCTCACTTAATTTTCATTAACCCAGAGAAAGAGGATTATATTTCTGCCCTAGTTGGCACTTCCTTTCAGGGACAGAGGTGTCTCTCTATACATCTCAGCTATGTGTGTCATTTTCTTCCAGGAATTTTACAGAAAAGCTATGTGGCTTAAGTAGCTAGAGAGGGTTTCAGGTCTATCATCCATTGGGTGAATTTTGTCTCTTGAGACTTTGGTCTCTGGTATTTTAGGGGCTTCGGGGAAGGTCATGAACAAAGTAGTTTCCTAATCTGGCTGTACTGGGATTTGTTTCCTTAGGATGGGAGTTTACAGTGTCCAACATGTAAGACCATTTATGGTGTCAAGACAGGCACCCAGCCTCCAGGAAAGATGGAATACCACCTCATCCCCCACTCCCTGCCTGGCCATCCGGATTGCAAGACCATCCGGATTATCTACAGTATCCCGCCTGGCATTCAGGTGAGCCCGCCCTTGGATGATCCACTTATTATTTCAACGTTGAATGTTTGGAGGCAAAATATTATACTAGCAAAAGTCTCCTTCCCGTGCTCATCCCTGTCCTGGGTCTCCCTCCCCTGGCTCCCCTGCCTCACTACCTTGTCCTTACTTTTCCTGTGTCCTCCCAGCATCCTTTGTGTTATTCGGCGGGACTGCCTCCTCTCCTCCTCCTTTTGCACAAAGAGCTACATTTAGGCACATTGTTTCACACTCTGCCTCTTTCAGCTAACAATGCGGACCTTGTGTCTATATAGAATGTCCTCTTTCTATCTGTGTCAGTGTCATAATCCAGTGTATATACATAGTCTAATCTAGCACCTCCATTAGCTGTCTGTTTAGATTGTTTGTACTCTTTTGCTACAGCAGATAATGTTATCACTAATAACCTAGCACACCTGTGACCATATCTGAAGGACAATTTCCTGGAAGCGGAATTTCTTGGTCAAACAGTTATTTATTTGCATTTTTAAAAATTGATGGTTATGCTTTTTGTCTTTGGTGGCATTTCTTTCCTCCCTGGTACTTCAAAAAGAGTCAGGCCTCAGGAACAGCGTGACTGATAATCCCACGAGTCAGTGCAATGCAGCCCTTTCCTCACACAGTGGGGCCTTAGGTGTTCTGGGGAGCAGACTGGACTCATCCCTTAGCAAACATCGGTTGCTCAGCCTCTCTCACTCCACCTGTGTCTCCCTGCTTGTCTTTTATCTGGCAAACGTTTGCGCGTGGGTTATGCCCAGGTGTGTGTTAAGCACTGGTAAAACAGTGTTTGAATCGGTGCAGTCTGTGATCCCTGAAGTCTCCACTGGGGCCAGGAGGATGATAAGCAAATAAATGACGAAGTACTTCCATATACTGAAAGTCAGGAGGAAATAAAAGAGGAAAGTGTGATAGTTCATAAAGCACGCGTCTTCCCTGGGGCACTTGGCAACCAGGCAGAGCGAGATAAATAAATGCCTTTCGCTCCCGATCTGGAGAGCAGAAACGGATATGCACTGGTGATGAAAGTGACACACACAAAGGGAAGTGCAGAGCTTCAAAGTCTTGTGACCCCAGGTCCCACTTCCTGTCTTCAAGGTGCCTGCTTCCTCCTAGATTTAGTTTGTTTCATCGGTACTGCTGGGAATCCGCTAGGCAGAGGGCCAAGGGTGGGAGAGCCTGTCTGCGTCCATTTCAGGGCCCACTACCAAGGGGCTCAGGACCGTGCTTCCTGCTGTCTGATTGGCTGAGATATCAGGTTGAGGAGGGGGTGTTTACGGGTGGTCTATCTGGAAGGTGGGCGGAGACTTTCTGGTTCAGGACACTGTCCAGTGAAGCCATGAAAGACATAAAGAAATGCAGAGTACATATTTAGCTGGAGGAGGTAACAGCGGCAAAGAAAAATTGCATGTTTATGGACAGCAGAATTTATTCATTTGGGAGGTTGGGAGCTCGGACTTGAGGAAAGGCATGGAAGGAAGGAACTGGTGAGGATGTAGGGGACAGGTCACAGAAGGAGCAGGCATGAAGACTTAGACTATGGGGAGCCCCTGGAGACTGCTTGTCTGATTAGGTTTATAAAACATCATGTAATTGAATTGAGCTTTAAGAAGCCTGTGTGACTTAAAGAACAGATGAGTGGAAATAAGAACGCTGTGGCATTTCAGGCTCCTGAATAAGGGGAGGCCCAGGGTAAGAAAGTAAGATATAATCGGCTGGTGCTCAGGAGAGACTTGTGGAATGGTTCTGGGGCAGCCGTTGGAGTGGTAGGGACGAATAAAATGTGGGAGTGGGCTGGCCAGATGGTTCAACTGGTAAGGGTGCTTGCTGCCAGTCCTGACAACTGAGAGCCTGTCCTGACTATCCAAGTTCAATCCCTGAAACCCGTGAGTGGAAGGAAAGAACTGACTCCTGCAAGTTGTCCTCTGATCTCCACACATGCGCTGTGGCACACACACACACACACACACACACACACACACACACACACACACACACCAAATGTTAAAAAGAAAATGAAAAGAGCCCAGCAGGGATCGAAGTAGAGCTAACAGTCAAGGTGGGGGTATCCATTGAGAAGGCCATATTTTTAAGCCTCCAGGGTTAAAGCACAGAGAGCGCCTCTGTAGAGGGGCCGGTGCTACCTATACATGGCTCTAACACCTCCAGCAACACCCTGGCTTGTGAAAGGAAATGCATCTCTAAACAGTCAGATGCTCTGCAGACTTGCTACTGTGAGTCAATAGCAAAATTTTTGGTGCTGTGCTCCTTGAAGCTCCAGGGGCGATGCAGGCTTGGGCTTCGGTGAGCTGAAGTCTTTAAGCTCTGAGCTGAGGTCTTCAAGCTCCACTTTCACTGCAGAAAGTGAGTCCCTTTGGGAGAAGCGCTGGGCCAGGCTGAGGCAGAGTCGTGACTGCGCTTCCTGGCAACAGGCCCAGAATGCACAGCCTTACTGGGTCAGTGCCAGACAGGCTGAGCTGGACACACACCCAGCAACCCCAGGCATCAGAGGAGTAGTTGGAGCTATGGCCAGGCTTAGTCCCTCAGTGATGAAGCCTGGCTTAGAAAAGTGTGGTCATGGGAATGCTGTACATTTGTCTGGATGTGAAATTATAACTGTCAGATTCTTTTACTCCAAAAGAATATCACTCTTCTTTTAGCTCAGCGTGACACTTGCAAACTTTTTAACATTTTTCTACGATCAAAATATATTGTGTGGATATGTAGAATTCTCAAACAATAAATAAAATTATACTTTAGAAATTTTTAATATTTTTATTCTTGGGCAGTTTTATGCATGTGTATCCTGGGTTTGAGCATTTTCAACCCCTGTTACCCTCATACCCTCCCTCTCGTCTACCAAAATCCTTTCCCCCAACAATCCCTCTCCTCTTCTTTGAGCCAATGAATTTAATTTAATTCATTCATTCATTCATTCATTTGCTCACTCATTCCATAGTTGGCAAGCATTTATTGATCTCTGGGAAAGCATGTCAAACAGCTGCATAGAATTGTCAATATTTTATGACTTGGACTTATAAATAGTTTTAAATAAGGTTCTGCTTCCAAGGGGTCAGGAATATTCAGAAATTATATACAAGCATTTGCATGGGTGGAAAGCTGTTGTGTCAAACTTCATAAACTTCTCAAAGGGACCAATAAATGTGTTGGGGCCTGTGATAGCTCTGTCAATGTGACACAATTGAGAATCACCCAGGAAGAGAATCCCGTGAGGGATTGTATGTGTTAATTTGGTTTATAGGTATGACTGTGGGGGGATTTCTTTATTACATTAGTTAAGGTGAGGAGACCTGCCCACTGCGAGTGACATCATTCCTTAGGAAAGGGGATCTGTAATGTGTCAGAGTGGAGAAAGTGAGCCAGTCATGCGTGTATCAAATCATTGCTCTTTGCTCTTGACTGTGAATATAATGCTGGTTGCATTGGGCAAGGTCTCCTGGTCCCTCCGCTCATGGAAGCAAATAGACAAGCAGTAGCATTCAGAAGAGGAGGACAAAAAGAGGAAAGCAGCCTTGCTTTGTAAGCAACATGCTTTCACAAGAACTAACCCGGTCCCTTGAGGGCAAGATGAGACCTCTCAGGAGAAAGGCAAGCACATCGCCCCTTCCACACCCCAGCTGCCCACAAGGCTGCAATGGAGACCAAATTCCAGTGAGAGTTTTGGAGGAACGAACCATACCCACTACCATAGCATCTGGGTTCTGAATCAGTTTCCTGTGGATGTCTTTCTTACTCAGTATCCTGAGATGGCTTGGGTAATAAGGTATTGGGTGATGATAGCTTTAGTGCCCCAAGACTTTCTGTCCTGAACATTGCAGTCTGTGTTGTTGAATAAGGAAGCAAAACCCATGAAGACAAAGGAGAAATCCACAAGAATCATACAGAAAACTCAGACTACATGGCTTGTAGCTTGGAGAACTTTATTATTCTAAGTAATTGCTTTGAAAGTCCAATGTATATGCCTCAGAAAACCTGGGATTAGGTTAGTTTTGGCAAAGCCGGTTAGCTTCTGCGGGCTGTGGTTTTCATCATTCACAAAACAGTAGAATAAGTGGGGTTGGTACTGATGATGATAAAATTTGCTGTACCCTTCCTGAATACGGGTGCCTAGTTCCCTGAGCATTGGTAACACCCCATAAGGTGAGTTTTCCAAATCACTCTTATCAAAGAGGGGAATTCCATAGATTCCAGCAGGGAGCTAGCAGCTGCAGTCCAAACTCAGGTCACATGATGTGTGACAACTTAGACCGACTTTTTTTGGTTTGTCCTCTGTGTGAACTCTGTGGCTCTTGTTGTTGTCCCACTAAGCCTGTATTAGCGTCTCGTCAGAAATGCTTTTGCAAGATGCCTTTGTTTTCTTTCTGCTTCAGGGACCAGAACACCCAAATCCTGGGAAGAGCTTCAGCGCCCGTGGCTTCCCACGGCATTGTTACCTTCCAGACAGTGAGAAAGGGAGAAAGGTAAGAGCACGTGTTCTGTAGTAGGGGTAGGGGTTGATTTTGTTTCTGCAATGCACAAACTGTGTATGTGTAATAATGATGTCATATCGGGGTCAACCTTAGGTAAGAGTTAGTATCATTAGGATGTTGTTTTGTTTGATTGTTTTTTAGTGTGTGTGTGTGCGTGCGTGCGTGCGTGCGTGTGCGTGTGCGTGTGCGTGTGCGTGTGCGTGTGTGTGTGTGTGTGTGTGTGTGTGTGTGTGTTACATATGTATGCTATCTATGGGATTGCAGGCTCTCATGCGCCACAGTGTGCATATGGAAGCTCGGGACAACTTCCAGTTGTCAGTCCTCACCTTTGCTTTGAGGCAGGGCCTCTCTTGTTTCTTGCTACTGCACTGCCCACTCCAGACTGGCTGGCCTGATAGCTTCCAGGTGATTCTTCTTCTCTACCACCCATCTCCCGACAGGAGCACCAGGATTACAGATGCGCACCACTGCACCCACCTTTCAGCGTGGGTATCTGAACTCAGGCCACCAGGCTTGCATAGCTAGTGCTTTCACCCACTGAGCCATCCTACCAGCCTCATTAGAATACTTTTGCAGGTGGTTGGAAGTGGAATGGCTCTCCCCCTCTCCTCGGGATATTACTGGCAATAGTCCGCTTATTATAGGATCTTTATCGAGAGCCCTGCTGTTTAAAGCTGGTCCTGGAGAAATACTAGTGTTACCTCCTAAGAGCTTAACAGAAACTCTGAACTGGAACCCATTTAATCTTCTCAAGATTCCTGGTTGTTCTATTCTGAACACACACAAAAGCATGAGCAGGACGTTCTGGGATCTTAATTAGTGGCAAATTATTTTATTTCTTTTATGGATTCTTTGTGATTTATCAAGACTTCTAAATATCCTAATTGGAATGACAGGATTTTCATTCTGATGCCAAGAGGACTAAGAACATTAGTTGGAGAAATGCAAGAGGCAGGCTTTTAGTCAGCTTCCTTTCTAGATCTGAGAAGCCTACTCAACAAATGTCTGTCTTTCTGCATTTTGAGTGTTAATGGCTGTGTTGCCATGGTGTGTCAAAGTCCAAGCATCTGTGAGCCTATCTGAGTTCCAGCAAACTGCCACAGACCATAGACAGAGTGGCTCATGAAAAGCAGGTGTTTATTTCCTACAGTATGGGGTTTAGGAGGTCCAAGATCAAGTTGCTGGCAGATTGAGAATCTGGCAAGGGTTCATTTCCTGTTCATAGACAAAGCCTCTTCTCTCTGTGTCCTTGCCAGGGAGAAAGGGCAAGAATTCTCTTCCCAGTCCCTTTTTATAAGAGTGCTAATCTCATTGACATTCATTTTCATGACCTAATGAACCCCAGAAAGTTCCATATTCTAATATTTTGGAGGCAGTGATAGAAGGTCACATGAATTTAGGGGATGCATAAGTATTTGCCCAAAAACTTTCCATGTGTCTTCCTGCTTTGGAAGCCAGACTGGAGAATTTCCAAGAAACATAAATGAGACCATAGAGTGTTCCTACAGGGCATCTGACAGGATTCTATGCTAAGGAAAACTCTATGCCACAGGAATACAGGAAGGCAGAGTGTCTTCCTGATAAATAATGTTAACAGTTTGAGATTCCCAAGGTTTTTGTATATCTCACCCTTAAGCCTGACTTATTGCTATTTTAACATTCTTATTTGAAAATATATCTGTGTAAACGAAATATCTCTATTTATGCAACCTTTACACCAAATGTAAATTGTGCTGGAATTCTTGATTTTCAGCTGGCCAGAGGTATCAACCAGACTCCAAGGTGGGGGCTTCCATTTCTTCCCTGTAATCTCTTAACACCCTATCTTTCTATACTGCTTCAATGTCAAGTGATGTGGGTATGTTCTGTCCTTCCAAGATGGAAAAGGACAGTTTGTAACAAGGACAATATCATGAAAGATGCACTAGTGCCCTGTTCTCAAATTGAGAATGAGAATTAATGAGAAGGAGAATTTGTCTCCACCAAGAGACAAATTTCTGTGCCTCAGCCCAAGTTCTCTAGCTAAAAGCCCCAGTGTAAAGTATGCTGTTAAAGACTACAGTTGTGGAATGGGGGTGTGTTTCCATTGGTAGAACACTTGCCTAGAATATGGGCAACCCTGGCTTCCATCCTCTGCACTTCTAACCAAACACCTTACACTTGCCTGTAATCTCAGCACTGAACCTGACTGGGATACTCAAGACTGTCTCAAACAAGTACCAGACTACACATGTTCCTGAGAGCTGCTCTCCTTCTAGACCTTCCTCTTCATGTAGCAACAGACCCCACATCCTTGGGACCCAGGCTATGCACATTCTCCATTTTGAAGTCTTGCTTTTAGTGACTAAATACACTCAGTTCATTATTCCTCCCTGCATTACCTTCCAAGCCTCTTAATCCTCTGCTAATCCTACAGGAGACTGCTTCATCTTTTTTCCTGACACTATGTCAGGAAAAAAAAACAGTTTCTGGCATCAAGCTCCTTTGTTTAAAAGCAATTAAAATTTAGAGTAACACATAGATGTTTCAATGGCCCTTCCCTTTCTTCCTTACAAAGTACACTGTCTTGGCTTAACATAAAAAGTCTTTGCCTTGTGGTATGGATGTAAACTATCTCCTCTCACCAATTCCTTAGCAATACCATTATTAGTAAGTGTCCTTAATATCCACAGGCCCATGACCCTAACCTTGGACTTTGTTGCAGGTTGGGTATGATAACAACAAGGTCTTTGAAGCTGTGTCATACTTTCAGTTCTGCTAGTCACTAATGATGGTTCAGTGAGAGACCTGTCTCAAAAAAGAAAATGGGCAGAGAGCACTCCAGTAAAGCACACAGCTTCATCCAGTGGCCCCCAAGTGCACACACATACAGACATGTGCACATGGATATGCTACACATGTGTACAACCTTTGATATGGGTGACTCCATTGCTGTTTTATAAGTAAACGAATTAAATCTCAGAAAGATGTTTGAAGTAATCAGAAGTTACACAGTTATTAAACGACTCCGATTTCAGATCTCTTTCTCTTCTTCTGAGTTGCTTAGAGCATCATGATGAAGGAAGGGTTGGGGACCTCAGGAGTCCACCATCTGAAGACCAATACTCAACAGCTGCCTATGGTCTCTCAACTCTGTTGCCCTAGGTTCTGAAGCTGCTTCTGGTGGCCTGGGATCGACGTCTCATCTTTGCCATTGGAACCTCCAGTACCACGGGCGAGTCTGATACTGTCATCTGGAATGAGGTGCACCACAAGACAGAATTCGGTTCTAATCTCACTGGCCATGGCTACCCAGATGCCAATTATCTGGATAATGTGCTGGCTGAACTAGCTGCCCAGGGTATCTCTGAAGACAGCGCTGCCCAGGAAAAGGACTGAGGTGGGAGGGTACTGGGGACTGCTGAGGAGTCATGGTGGAAGTCGATGCCGTGCCTCCTGACTCCCTCATTTCCCTTCTGGTTCTGTCTCCACTCGTCAACTCTCTCAGTCACAGAGGGAGCTAGATTAAAGTGATGTCATTCATAAATTTTTTCCAACACAAGCAGGATGTGGGATGAGGGCCACCCCCCACACACTTGTCCCCATGGAGTTTTCAGTGCTGGGCAGGTAAGAACCTGCACCTCTGCCTTCCCTTAAGTAGGGGATGTGCTCAGCACACTTAGGAATGGGCAGTGTTGAAGCATGGAGTTTTCAGTGCTGGGTAGGTAAGAACCTGCACCTCTGCCTTCCCTTAAGTAGGGGATGTGCTCAGCACACTTAGGAATGGGCAGTGTTGAAGCATGGAGTTTTCAGTGCTGGGTAGATAAGAACCTGCACCTCTGCCTTCCCTTAAGTAGGGGATGTGCTCAGCACACTTAGGAATGGGCAGTGTTGAAGAACTCTACCCTGGCCTTGTGCAGCTGAGATCCCTTGCCTCAGCTGGCTTCTTGCTGCTTCCACTCCGCTTTGAGAGCAGAGTTTCTGCTTTTCTCTTTTCCTCTACTGGAGTCAGGGAGCTCTCACTGTGCAAGATTGGGGAGAGCGGTGTAGACTGCTGTGACATCAGAAATGGGATGCCTTGGTGTAGAGGAAGGAAGCAGTTCATGCTCAGAGGGTCAGTGTCAAAAGCCTCTGAGAGCATGTTCAGCTCTCATTATTGTCCCTGGCCTCTCTGGGCCCTCCCCTCCTCCTGTCATTGACCTGTCCATAGACATCTGGTTTTCTCAAGTGGATGGAAGGACTCAGGGATTCCCCTTTGGGGTGGCATCCCGTGATGCTGTTTCCAACCCCTCTCTGATCCAACCAGAGCCTGCATCCCACTGAGCATCTGTACTATCCTCAGGGAGAGGAGCCCACAGCCTTCTTCCCAACTCATCTCAGACTAGCTCAGTTTCATGAAGTCACTGTGAGTTGGAGCCCATCCTGGGCTCTGTGTCATCTGTGTCTGTGCCTATGTTTGTGTGGGTATGTGTGCATCCCTGGGCTAGGTTGTTGGGAAAGTCCCATCATGTCCTTGAGTTCTGTTTCACATGCCACATCTCAGTTCTGTTGGGGATCTAATAGTAAAGGTGTGGCCCTTTGATTTTTCTCACCCTTTGCTAGCTCATCTCATGATAAACTTGGACCCTGATGTGCACAGACCTGCACTTGGGAAGATGTGTTGATGTGAGAGCTATGTTGACCTTTCTCTTTCTTATTGATATGAGATTAGAGCCAACCACCATCCAGTCTTGTTTGTATGAGAGCTCAATTCAGATTTGCTAATTCAAGGCCAGAGATGTTACTGGTCCCCCTTTCTCCACACCCCATCTAGTAGAGACTGACCAAATGCAGGTGATGGAAACCTCTTTAGTTCATGGTTAGAAATGCATTCTAGTCTTCTCTAACCTGTATCTGGGTGTTGTGACAAGATCCAGTGTATCCCCAATATCTTCTCATCTTTGGCTCCATGAAAGAATGGTGTTTGGTAAAAGAGAATGAAAATCAAGAAGGGAAACCAATTTCTCCTTTGGAAGTGGGTTCTTTGACTGTGTTTGGGAAAAGTGTCTCTGGATACTAATTTGAATTTATGTACCTCATGTTTTGAGGGTTTGACATATATATGTGTACATATATATGCATATATATACATGAATATATACATATGCATATATTGTTCATAAGATTTTAAAGGTTTTGACTCTTGAAGGAATAAAAGAGAGGGGGGAATAAAAGAACCTTGCACAAGGTACTTGAGTTAGAACTGGAGTCCACACTTTCACAACTCCCTGCTCTTTTGGGGCCTCCAGCATTGTCAATATTGCTGTGGCCTATGGAATCACTCCAGTGCTCCCCAACCAGTTCCCTGGAACATGCTGGTGCTGAATCTTCTTTCACTCTACAAATGGCTAATGGAACTTTAATTGCTTCCCACTAGGGGGAGCTGTGGTAGGAGAAAATGTTCTGCCATCTTAGTCCAAGATGGGAGGCCATTTTGCCTCACTAGCAGACCAGGAGACTGCTGAGGTCCTTGAGCCATGGGGAAAGCTTCTACCACAATAGAGAAAGAAATGTCAGAACTAAATGGAAGGCATATGTCATGGAATTAAAAGTCACGTCCATGTCTCTTGTCAGGCTAACACATTTCAGAAATTATCAGAGCCCCACTGAGGGCTTGCAGTCATTTTTGCCTTCAGTGCCCCGCATCTTGGCAACAGGGATGAGAAGATACATGGGAGCCCATGGGCAGGAAAAGGAGGCAGTGGGAAGCAAAGGAATGAAAATGGGCTCCCGAGATGTGGGAATGGGCAGCAGGGTACAGTCTCACAAGGCAGAGGAAAGGGTAGCCCAAGTCAGAAGAAATAGGACCCAAGTGGACATCTAAGGGGGTGATTGTTCTTGGAAAAAACAAAACAAAGCAAAGCAAAAGAATATTTTGAGAGTTAGTCTTCATGCCTTCAAGAATTTCCACAGAGGACTTTGAAATGTCTATGCCCCATTTCCTTCTTCTCTGCGGATGCTCTGAGGGGCTACCTCATCCTCGTCTTTCACTCTTTCAACTTTCTGGGCTTTAGGAACCTGGGAATTCTCAACAGTGTACTACTGTCAGTCAAAGCGATGGCTAGTACCTTGCTCTTCCTCTTGTGCCAACACAGAAAGACACAGAATTGATTTTGGTGAGATTGGACACTGGGCACCTGCTACTTTGACCCAGGGTGCTTCCCCAAGAGAAGCCCCAGTGTGCCTTGCTGGGCCAAGCAGGGTCACCATGCTTTTCCTTTCCTGCCTCAGCGCCAGCGGCTCTGTTCTCCCGCTCTGAGACTCCAGGGATGCCAATGGGATTGGAGACACACCTTGTGAGATGCTCATCCCTTGAAGTTATGTGCTGTATCTGTGGCTGTCTGTGCCTTTGTGCTTCCATTCCCCTCTCCTTATGTAAGATTCAGAGTTCTCTGTGGTTTTAAACTTGGTCAAAGGTACGTGTCCTGGTACTACAGTGTTGCGTGCATGAGAGGTTTGGGAGAAGGCTGGCATGGCTCAAGAGACAACCACTGCCCCCTTTGCTTGTTGGTGGCCACTTACATCTCACAGGGGGTTTCTGGGAGAGGGCTGGTCAATGTCCAGATGTCAGGTGTTCTGTTTGTAACTGCTGTGATCTCAAGTTCTTGGTGTTGTTCTATGAGAGGACATCGCCCCCTGGTGCTCATGAGGTGTATGTGCAGAACAATAAATGCAAATGAACAAGCACAAATTGTTGTTACTCCCAAGGGCCTGCTTTTGTAGAAGTGCTTTGGTACCTGTCTCAGAAGCATGTGAGTTACTTCCTCTATGTGTGAAAAACCTCAATCTAACTAGCTAGAGACAGGGAAAACCCCTTTATTTTCTAAAACTTTCCACATCTCTTCTACTCTACCCACGCATTTGACCTAGCTTGACTCTGGGTTCCCCTCAAATAGACATGCAAAGGAAATGAGTATATGAACTTTGGCTGGGAAAAGTTATCCTGAAAACCATGGACATTGGCTTCTTGTGTATAAGGAAATGCGTGAGTGTGTGTGAGGGATGCATTGTATGTGAGGGGATGCATGTGTGAGGAGATGCGTGTGTGTATGGTGGGGTGCATGTGTGTGTTAAGGTGTGCTGATCTGTGTACACACATACTGAGGTCAAAGTTGGCGTCAGGTATCTTCCTCTTCTACCTTCTGCCTTTTCTTTTGAAGCAGGTTCCTCTCAATGAACCTGAAAATTACCATTTTGGGTAGGATAGGCTGGCTAACCAATGAGCCGCAAGAGCCATGTGTTCCTACCTGTCAGTGCTAGTGTTACAGGTTTATGTCACCCGACATCTCTTACATGGACGTTGGGAATATATACTCAGATTCTCATGACTAAATAGAAAGTACTTCACTGAACCATCTTCGCAGCCCTAAATACTGACCTTGAAAAGGCCCCTTCATTTTCAGGCAGTTTTTTAAAAATAAATAATTATTATTGAGCATGTGAGTAATCAGGAATACAAAACTAAGAAGCAAATATCCAGCCTCCTTTGTCACCACGCTGTGTCTCTATCTCTGATATCACATGGAGTGTGACTTTTGCAGAAACCAGCCCTGTTCTTTCTGTAGACCCCAGCCTTAGAAAGTCAGGCCTAGCAGAGCCCCAGAGCCTCACCCAGGACTTAGGGAAGTGGCTTGAGTGGGTACTGGAAACCCCTACATTCTGACTTCATACAGATGAACACCCACGCAGAACGTTGCTGAGTACACATTTTTTTTTGTTAGTAGAACTACATATTTATAGAATGAATTTTAAAAATTTCAATAGGAAGTTTGTGCAGTAAGGTCTAGAAGTCTCTTGTGCCTTGCTTTGTAGACTCAGGAACTCTTACAGAGAATTTATACAGAAAGAGCTGTTTCCAGGCCCCTGGTCCCTATTACACTACCGATGCTGGGCTCGCACTAGGACTTGTCTTGCATATCCTGTTGCTGCCCTGTGTTGAGATCCTGCCACTTTGGGTCTACAGGTCAGGTCCCTTCACGTGCTCTAGCAGATCATAGATGGGGTGGATGTTGGGGCGGGCCAAGCACCAGACAGTGACTCTTTCCAGTGAACACTTAAAAGTAAAGATACACAGACAAAAGGACTTACTGCCTGACTCACTGTGTCACGCCGCAGCTTTCATGACAAGGTTTTAATTTTTTTTCCTTTTTTCCTCTTAAATCTTGTTTTATTTTGGGTGGGGGTGCAGGGGCTGAGGGCAGATGCAAAGGGATGGGGAAATCAATGGGCTCAAGATACCATGATGTAAAAGACACATAAATAAAAAGAAAGTTTTTTAAAAAACTGGCAAACTTTCCACAAAGATGATGTGGTAGTATATTTATCCATACATAAAATGTAACTGACTGTTGGATACATCCAAGGAAAAGAAAGTTGTTAGCTTGTCTGAAACATATAGAATTCACTCAGAACCCACAGAACACATTTTAATACTGAAAAGGACAGGTTTGGTGGGGGGCTGTGGGATCAACGCCCTTGGCTGGGCTGTAGGGCAATAGTAGTTCAAACTCAGCTGTTCATTCCTCTCTGTATCTCAGCTGGACATGGATGAGTAATTCTTCCCACGTTCCCAGAGGCCGAGACACTTGGAGCTCTTCAGAAGGGCCTACTGTGTACACAGGTCCTTGACTCTCAACATTAAAGAGAGAACACTATCTTTCATAGACAATAGCCCACTGGTGGTGTGCTGTGGTGAATGGATTCATAATTTCTAAAGCAGCTGTGGAAGAATTTCTATGTTGTAGAGAATTAAATCAGATATTAAAATTGAGTAAAACCCCAACTACTGCCAGGTATCAATCATGTATCCTGACAGATACCCCATGGAAATCATCCTGTAATTGAAATAAATATCACAGGGGGGGTCTGGAAGCCTTTTCCAGTTAATTTAATGACATAACTTTTTGTCATATCAGTCCTGTTTCTAGCAGTGAAAACCAGCAAAGCCTAAAGGGACAGAAAATAGTGCTTTCTATGTAGTTTTAGTTTTAGAGAAGAAGTAATACTTAAATGGGGGCTTTTTGACTTTTGCGTTTTTTTTTCACCACTAGGAAAATAAAAGCTTCTTGTTGGAATATAGGGCATGTTTATGTGTCTGTACCCACCCATGATGAGAAGACGGGAAGGAGAAAGAGATAGGAAGGATAAAGGAGAGAGGAGAATGAAGGCTAGAGAGGATGAAGAGGAGAAAGAGGAAAGATGAAGGGGAGAGAGGGGAAAGGGTTATATATTTGAAACATGAGCATGGAACCATAATGCTTGATCTAACCTAAGTACAGCTCCACTCAGTTCCTCATTCATAATGGCTATTAGTTGACAGATCTAAGAATTCAATTCTGAAATAGTAGCATCGTCTCCAGAACCCCAGGTTTTATCCTTAGTTTGTTACTTGTTTCCCTACATTTCCCTCATCCCTCATCCCCTAACAGAAAATTGTAAGCTAAAATATTTTCTGAGGACTTGTTAAGACTGTTCAGAAGCCCAAGACTGATCTAGACTAAGTCCTAATTGTGGGGTAGTTGAGAAAAATGGAATTTGTATAAGCCCCTTGCATGCCTGTGAGATGACTCTGGGAGAGGAAAATCTGTAAATTAACACGGAGTCCTTAAAGCTAAAGGATAGTGGCTGTGTAGGCTTCCTGTGGCATTTCAAGGTCATGTCTGCTTCTTGATCTGTGAAACCTAGAGAGCTTCTTTACAAACAAGGAACTTAAAGCACAAACCCCTTCCATTCACAAACTGGAAAGACTTCAGACTAAATTGCTAATCTCCAAATGCACTCTCCAAATCTCTTTTCATACACATGAATTCAGGTAAAGACAATTATGAGAATGGATACATACCCCTTTCATGCCATGTTCCCAGTCCAGCTTTTTCTGAATGAACCACCCCCCCATTCCTCCTTAAACAACCCCTTTAATTTCCTGGTGCAGACAAGAAGTCCCACAGCTGTAATACCTGCTTTCTGTAGCAACTGTCACTTCAGTACTTAGGAATGCAGAAGAGAAAACCGAGTGAAAAGCATGCTCAAAGCTGTGGCTGGAAATGACAGAGACTGTTCCCTTTGAAGACAATTATGCTGGACTTGGATCCTGTTCTCCATTAGAGGCTGATGATGCATCTGTTGTTAAACTTCCAACCAAACTCTCTCGCTCGTCAATTGCCTGGTATTCCTTCTTCTTGTACTTCCGGGTATTGTAGATGACCAAGGCAATGACAGCCCCTAGTGCCACGATGACTGCCAAAGTGATTCCAGCAGCTTCTCCTCCTGACATACCACTGCTGTCCCCATGGATGACTGTCATGGCTCTACGCAGCTCCAGTGGCTCTCCCAGCTTCCACTGGTTGGTCTGGGGGTCTTTAATCCAGGATCTGGCAGTCTCACTACTGGTCACTATGACGGTGTTGGTGGCAGCTTGGCTCATGAGGGGTGGTTTGGTGTAAGGGGGGAGCCTTACAGGGAGCAGAGACCCTCCTGTAAAGATTCCAGCCTTGACGCAGTAGGACACTTGGCATCCATCACTGATAACAGCTAGGTGTTGGCTGAAGCCCCCAGGACACTTTTTCAGAGATGGTGCTCCTATATCTTTGGATGTATTAGAATCAACCAGGGGATTCCCCATTATACAGCTAAAGAACCCACCAAAGGGGACTGAAAACCTGTACCCCAATTCATAATCCAGAGAAACGCATACCTTGAGGTTCTCAAACAGGCTCAGTGGAATGTAGCTGGCTGGGCATGACTGTGCATTTGTCATGGGGTTGATGCTCTTGTCAGTGAAGACTCCCCCAAAGAGAAGTCCTGAGTTTTCAGGTACTTGGCCAGTGGCTGCACACCAATAAGCCCTAAATTCAGCCCTGGCTACTCGGAAGACATCTTCACACACTGTCTTGCAGAAGATTTTGAGGGTGCATTTCTTTTTACATTCCAGGCGACTGTAACCCTCCTCATGGTTCTGAGACAGCAAATGGACAGGGGTGTAGCCAGAGGGACAAGAGAAATCACCAGTGAGCAGATTCTTCTGCTCTAGGTTTTGGCAAAGAACATCTCCCGATAGTTCAGTGCATTCCTGGTAAACTCCACCAAAAGTGAAGTTGGTTACTTTCTCATCACATGAGCCATCATCCATATTGGCTTGAAAATTGAAGTTGGGGGAATCGACATTTGTGCAGCCAGGGTGGGTGTTAAAGGTGTAATAGTGTCTCACTGCAGTTTCCACTGTCTTCGACAACTTCTTCACCAAGGGACCTGGCAAGCCGGGCAGTTTGTCAGGCTTGATGAAGAAATGCAGAGGCAAACCAGCACGGTCTATTGCCACCAGGTGGTTACTGATGCCCTTCTGCCAGGTTTCTAAGGTGATGCCTGGGTAGAATGGAACCCCACCCATGCTCTGTACCCTTGAGTTGGTTCTGTTAGAAAGATAGCTCTTGGTCAAATCATTGTGAGAAGTGTAGTCTGCCTCAAGTTTGAAGTTCACAATGTTTAAGAAGGCAATCCCAGCAGAGGCAGTCACTGTGTTCTGGCTGTTCTGATTGTCCAGGAGTAAGGAGGACTTTATGTGGTCCTCCTGAACCAGTGCAGCCCCAGCATCCACACTAGTGACTACGTGTGTGCCATAGTTGAGGACCAACAGTTCTGCCAGGTAGGTGGCCATCTTTGTCTGATTTTTCTCTAGCTGGTCACAGATGTCCATAAGTGCCTTCATAAACCCCAAGCTGAGTTCTGAAGTTGGGCTATTTTTGACTGTGTAGACCAGGTTTCTTACCTGAACCCTGGTGGTTACAGCTTGATCCTTTACCTGAAGGGTCTTCATCCTTTGGAACTCAGTAGAGAACTTGCCATTGACTTTGGAGAAAAGAGAGAGTTCTGTATTGATGGAAAATGAGGTAGTGCTCTGGTAATTCACCCAGGAATCCAGGATTTCTGAGTTCATGTCCAGGTTGCTCTCTTTCTGAGGAATGGTAAAGACTTCATCAGGGATGATGTACTGTCCATCCTCTGTGGTCTTACAGTTGGTGTATGTCAAGTCCATCACCCGTCCCATGTCTACATTTCTCAGATTATCCCAGCCACCTCCAGGTAGGACCTCCAAGACAGGTAGTTTTAAGGCATCCTTGCATGTTTGAAATCCAGTCTTCGCAGGCTCTCCAAGAGGCTTGTCTGTTTCAACATGTGCTGCCATGGTCCAGATGATGACCAGGGCCACGAAACTGTTCATGATGCAGACAGTTCCAGCCATGTCACAGCCCAAGCATTCGCCAGCACGACTGGGGCAAACAGAAAGACAGGAAAGAAAGCAGGTGCTGAAAGAAATTTCTACAGTTTTCCTAAAACTACCAGTTCCTCTTTATGCTGCTCTAATTACAAAATAGAGAAATGAAAGCTGGTTGGAATATTAGAGACCATTAGGTCCTTGTAAAAATTCTTCTACACTGGATATGCAAGCACACACTGTGCACCATTTACCCCGCTGTGTCCTCCACCCTGTCTTTCTTTTGCCAAAGTGGCAGATACCGAGAAAGGCATGGACCCAACACCTACCTCTTCTCTATCAGAAGGCTCTGGTCTTGCTTTTGGTTCACTCTGCTTGACTGATTTCAAAACTTCCTGAGTTCATTTTACTGGAAGTTGCAACTTTGCCCTAATTTACATACCCCGCCCCCACGAGACAGGCTGCTGTGTGTCAAGGACAAATCTTAGGTGTCTCATTGGTACACTGAAGTCCACGGCTGAGCTCAGGAGGAAAGAATAAAGAACCTCAGATACTTTTGTTTTGTGAGGTCTCCTTGTTACAAGTTCTCACAGTCCTGCTTTGGATATGGAGTTATCAGGGGCTGAACTCAGCAGTCTAGATAAACATTCCATTTGCCATACACTGGGAAATCCCAGCCTGAATTGTCCTGAGTGTTATGTGAGGGTGAGGGCTCCCACACAGGGCTGCCTCTCTCCTTTCAGATAGAAATATTGTAGAGAAGACAAAAGCCACACTGTAAATTTTGTTTCACTCAAAGCATACAGTGGCTCAGGAGTATATGTACACATGTCCACACATTTGTCTGATCTTTTGGGTGTGTACAGTTTTAAATTAAGCAGTAACTAGCCATGCCTGTAACTTTTCCAGCCCATTATTGCGTGTTTATAATCAGGAAAGCTTTTTTTTATTACTCAGGTTAAAAGTACTAACATTCATTTCTTGTATTGCCAGGAAAACATAATCTTATGAGTTTTCTTCTAGCTCCTTTAGATTTATAATGTAGAGAAATCAAGTATCAGGATTAAGGGAACCTCAGATGATTACATGGTTGGAACAACTGAAGTGATCTCAGTACATTTTGCTGGCAGCCAGGGACTCCATCACAGATTAAAAAACCGCATGTGACGCCCTCATGAGGCCCAGGAATGATTATGTGAGCAAGATGCAAAGCTAAAACTTTAAAAAGAATCCCGTTTTAGCCATAGATTGGTGCTGTCACCTGTGCACCAGCTGTGAAGATCCCAAGGAACTGAATAATCTCAGGCTGTCAATGAGATAGTAGAGCATTTTTAGACGGAACAAGGCTGCCCTTCGCAGACTGTCTCCCTAGTCACTTTTCATCCCTCAGTGGTGTTCTATAAATCCAGAAAGGTCTCACTGTGAGTCAGTTCATGCCAACGTGTTTGGGGAAAACAACTCACTCCAGCCTCCAAAGATGTATGAATTTGCAAACCATGCCCAAACTATCCTAAGCTGGAGAACACAGCCCAGCCCTGCAGAGGATGCTCTAGTTTATAAATAATCAGAGGTTATGTATTCATACCTCAAGAGACAGCCCAGAGTTAAAAAAAAAACTGGGAGTTGAATGCCCTGCAGTACTTGCAATAACTCGATGTTTGTACTCTTTAAAAAAAACTGTTTCACAGACACTCATCTGAAGAAAGAATGGCTAGAAGTTTCTACTTGTTCTCTCTTTTCTGGATTCTATTAAGAGCTGGGGATGTGATTCTGTAGGTGCAGTGTTTCTTGTGCAGGTATGAGGACCTGAGTTTGGATCCTCAGAACCCACCTAAAATGTGGACACAACAGGGTGTGCCTGTATCCTCATGTTGGAGGATTCCCAAGAGCCTGTTAGCTAGTGTGTCTAGCTAAGCTTCAAGTTCATCAAGAGACCTTACTCAAAACTTAAAGTGGGAAAGCAATTCAGGAAAGATACTGATGTCAACCTCTGGCTTTCACAAGTCCTGCATGGATGAGCTCATCGACACATACACCTTCATATCACACACACACACACACACACACACACACTGTTGAGACCTTGATGTCTTAAAGTGAGAGAACAAAGTAAACACAGTTCTACATTCAAGCCTTTCTAAATTACTAAACATTCTATCACTTTTTTCTTTTAGCACAGTTTTCCACTCTTAATATTACATAAAAACTGAAGAAATCATATGATAAAATATTCTACAGCTAACACATTTTTTCAAACAATTTTGATTTAATGAGAAATCATTATGTTGTCTTAATGTATAAAAGTGATAATAGGCCCTCAGCATGACTCCAGATATGGTCAAATATATAAAATTAGAGGCTTCAACACCAACCCATTTACAGCAATATTATATCTGATCAATAGAGTTTTTAATCATTTTTTTACTCTTAATTTTCTAGAGATTCTTTGGTTTTCTTGCTTTTTCAACAAGAGAATGTCTTATTTGAGATTTTTGTTTGTTTTGTTTTGTTTTTTACTGAGTTTACTAAGTACCAAGTAACAGTGGATATCATTTTGTACTAAGTAAAACAATTCACAATATAACAGATGTATATTTTTAAAATTTTGGTTTTGAGATTACAATTAAACATTTCTCTATTCCCCTTTCTTCCTCCAAACCATGGTATATAACTCTTCCTAATCTCCTTCAAATTCATGGCCTCTTTTTTCACTAATTGTTATTGCATGCTGATATGCATGTAAGTATGTACATAAATATAACCTGCTCAGTCTGTATAATGTTCCTTGTATGTATGTTTTCAGGGCTGACTGGTACTAGACTACCAACTGGTGTGCCCTTATGTTTTTTTTATCTCAAATTATTTTGGCACTTTCATGTGCCGGGTGGTTGAACACATGGATTTTATGATTCATTTGCTCAAGGAGGTTCTCTTTTCAGCTGGTGGGAAACAATGAAAGGAGAAGTGAAAATGATGAGAATTTAGGGCGCAACCTCCATTTACAGGCTGGGGCTGGAAAGTGGGGCCCAGAATGGGCGGGTGAAGATTTGACTACTGCATCTCACTCCTATTTTTCCTGTTTTACTCCTCCCAACAATTTTCTGTGCTTTTTCTTGTACTGGAATATGCGGGTAAATGCGTTCTCTCCAGATGGCTACCCTGAGGGAGTGAAGGGCTGAGGCTAACCCCTGAACTCCGACCTCTAGCAGAGAGAAGCAATTCTTCCACAGAAGGTATGCCTCTATGGGAATTTCACTTCCTCCAACAAGCGGCAAGAGGGAAGTCACACATCTGCTTTCTTTCCCAGTCTGGACACGTGCAGCTCTTCTGACACTGTCATGAGGAGTTAAGCCATGATTCATGTCTGAGGTTCACTTCTGTGAGGGCTGGGGGCCTGTCCAGGTGTTTCCAACAAATGTATGTCACCAGTGATCTAAGATGGTTGCATTAGCCAGGACCAGCCTACTTTGTTTGTCAGGGATTTGGGAGACCAGTCTGAAACCTGACCTACAAGGCATTGATCGATAAATGGAACCAAAAGCATTGGTGAATGGAACTGAGACTGTGACTTTTGTAGATCCTAGAGTAAACCGTGATGAAAATGGAGGACCTGTGTGGTACAGAGCGCAATGACTTTTTTTTTTTTTCTAGCAGTTGACTTCTAACCTTATCTTCTGAGCATTGCTTTGCCAGCTCAGAAGAAATTCTTTGCACCAAGTTTGTTTACTACCCACAAAAAACAAAACAAAACAAAAAAACCCAAGAATTCAGTGGTTTCATGCTTCTCTTTAGTGTGGGGGGTAATGGGGAAATTTTGTATAGTCATATGCGAGGCCAGAATTTGGCAGCCCAAGCCATTTTATTCTGTTATTTTCCCAAGACAGGGCCTCATTGTGTAGTGAGCTGACCTGGAATTCTCGATGTAGACTAAACTGCACTTGAACTGACAGAACTTCGACCATATTAAAATAGGAGGAAACTTTGATGCAGTCTATTGGAGCAAAAACACAACTCTCACCTCAAAGAGAAAAAGACAGTTTATTCTGGGTTCAAATGTGAGTGACCTGGAAATAGATTTGGGTCACCCAACATGATAACAATTTCATGAAGTTTTTCTAGAGAAAGAACGACGACATTCATAAATCAAGGTATTTCTAAAATGTATTGGTAGGAACACCAGGCAGTAGGCTTCAGCAACGCTGCAAAGCCTTGGCTATAAGACTATGTTGAAGTCACTTTGTAATTTTTCTCACTTACTTTTTATTGACAAAATCTTGCTTTTGGGGGTAGTGAAGAGAAGGCTTGATGGTTAAGAGTACTAGCAACTTGATATGTCATACTTTGTTCAAGCCCACAGGAGGCCTGCCCTTTCTGAATGGAGATAGAAGAGTAGATGGGGAGGAGGGAAGATGGGTGCCTGGGGGAGGGAGTCAGAATGGAGAAGGCAGGGGAAACTGTAGTCAGTATGTAAAATAAAAGAAAAATTGTTAATTGAATAAGATGAAATTTAAAACAGAATACTAACTGCTCTTCCAGAGGACCCAGATTCTATTCCCAGAATCTGCAGGACCACTCATAACTGGCTGAAAGTTCAGTTTCAAAGGGACCTGAGGTCCTCTCTGACCTCAGTGGACATTGCATGCATGTAATACATTTACATACATACAGGCAAAAGCCTCATATGTATAAAATTAAAAAAATACTTATTGTTTAATTTTTTTAAAATACCTTGCTAATTATGCTATAGGATGCTATAGGATACCTTAAATATCCATCTATTCAAAAACTGTGTTGTTAGGGGAGTCCAAGAGATACCCCCAATGATATAGATTATTGCCATTGCCCTCAGTTGATTTCCAGAAAGGAAAGATAAAACTCTGCTGCTAAAGATACCACACATGGTGGACACAGAACTTAGAGGAACTGACATGGATCTGACCTGAAAGCCTCCACCCCGAGGAGTATAAAACTCTTGTAATATAAGGAGGAGCTTTGAAAGCTGTCAAAAAAGCAATCAATCATCTTATGTAGTTGTAACAACCACAAACGACAATAATCATCATTGCAAGACATTCCAGAACATCCAGTAGTGGTACTTACTGACAACCACATAATAAGACTTAAGGCTCAGCCAGGCGGTGGTGGTGCATGCCTTTAATCCCAGCACTTAGGAGGCAGAGGCAGGCAGATCTCTGTGAGTTTGAGACCAGTCTGGTCTACAAGAGCTAATTCCAGGACAGCCTCCAAAGTCATAGAGAAACCCTGTCTTGAAAAACCAAAAAAAAAAAAAAAAAAAAAAAAAAAAAGACTTAATGTTCACTCAATAGGAAAGAATTCACATCGGATACTGTAAACTTGGCCAACTACCCATGCCTGGTGAAACAAAGGAAGCTACAGG